CCTATTCTAAATGAGTTCTGCCATCTGCTGCATCAACACAAAACATGAGACTTTAACGGGAAGGAACTTTAATACAATTAGGAAACAATACAGGAAAGGCAAAGAATCTAGTTTCTAAGTCAAGCACCCAAAGTTACCCGTCCCCTCTTGGGTAAAACTCCATCCAAATGGGATTGGCCCAGAGCAAGGCCCCAAAGCCTGGCACAAGTCTAAAGCATCTTCTAGTGGGGACCCACAGAAAAGGGTCAGAAACAACCAAACAAGCCCGGAAGGAAAAGAGCAAAATCAAAATCAAGATATAAGCTGCCATTGTCACCTCCCCACGGGTCTCACCCACATCTGTGTCACCCAGTCTACGACCAAAAGACAAGCACAGTTTCTTCACGTGTCTCTAGGCTCCATGCACCTCCTCCAGGTCTCCTTCTGGCTCCATCCTGCTTCCTTCCTCAGTCTCCTCTTCAGCTTCTCCTGTCCCTGCTCAACTCCACCCTCCATTTGGGTGGGGCAGGGAACCTGGAACCTCCCCCTTTCCTGGGGATCACCCTGTTACAATAGGAATAGGAGTTCTCTGCAGCTGTAGACCTTGGTCTGCCTGACCCCTCACAGCATGCCCACCATTCACCATTCACTGGTGACTGGAAGGATGAATTTGGAATCTGCCATCCAGATGTAGTCAGGTGGAACAGATTGAAGGAAACCTAGTGTTCTAGGTACCGTGGGTGTGAGGGAGGAGAGCTGGTTATACTCATGAAAAATTTTTATTCTAGATATGAAGGTAAGTCTTCCATGCACATACAGTTAAAGCAAGCAAGTTCAAATGCAGAATGTAGACATATTTTTCTGAACATTCATGTAAATACATGGTTGTTAAGAACAAATTCAAGGGGCCTCCCTGGTGGCGTAAGGGTTAAGATGCAGTACTATGAAGCTATCCACAGCCACTGCAGCACAAGTTCGATCCCCAGCCAGGGAGCTAACCCACATGGTGCAGCAGACCTCTCCTGACTTGCCTGCTGCTCCCCTCAGCAATGTATTTCAGTCAGTCTGCCTGTTCTGTTCCCCACTCTGTCTCTGGTGAATCCTCTCACCCCCCACACCTCTGGCCTGTACTCCAGTTCTTGTATGCATAAATAAATAAATTTTAAAAATAAATAAAAACAAATTCAAGCATGAAAGAAACATAGTATAGAAAGTCTCTATAATCTAACTCCACATCAAGATAACCACTGTTAATTGTTTGTTTTAAAGATTTATTTATTTATTTATACAAGCACTGGGTACAGTCAGAAGCGCGGGAGGGTGAGAGAATTCACCAGAGCCAGAGCAGGGAGCAGAACAGGCAGAAGGACCGAAGTACACTGCTGAGGGGAGCAGCGGGTGGCAGGAGAGGTCTGCGCGCCATGTGGGACCCTTGCCCGGTGGCTGGGGATCGAACCGGCGCTGCAGAGGCTGCAGGCATCCTTCGCAACCCAGCGCTCAACCATTGCGCCACTGGGGAGGCCCACCACTGTTAATTGTTAAGATGTATTTGAGGAGTTTAGGTTTGAGCTGGACCTTAACATAAAATCCAGAAAGGCACACTGATGGAAGGAAAGCAATTATCCAAACTATTACTCCGGGGAGGAATACCCCCAGTAGCTTTCTGACAAGTGATGAGCCAACTTCTCTTTGGATACCTTGGTGATGAACCAGAATGCCCAAATAGGAATTTCCTTTGTTCAGTACCACCTTGTACCTTGAGAGCTAGCCAGTGCGTTAATTCCTCCCCACCAGAAGAACTGGGGTATAGGCCAGAAGTGCAAGGGATGAGGGGATTCATCAGAGACAAAGTGGGGAGCAGAACAGGCAGATCTAGTGAAATACACTGCTAAGGGGAGCAGCGGGCAAAAACAGTAGAGGTCTGCTGCACCATAAGTGGGTTAGCTCCCTGGCCAGGATCAAACTCAGGCCTTAGTGGTGATAGGCTGAGACTTAACCTCTAGGCTACCAGGGAGGCCCTGAATTTACCACCTCATAAAGTAGGTATTATTTTTGTTTGTTTTTTTACAAATAGGGACACTGAGGCTCAGAGGTTACTTGCCTGGGTCATATAGCAGCAAGTGTTAATATAGTTTTGCCATTCACTAGCTGTGTGATCTCGGGCAAATTCATCTCTGTGGCTCACTTTCCTGTTCTGTAAGGGTGAGTAATAATAGTATTTACTTCCCTGAGGGAATTTTTAAGATTGACTTAATACATACTAGATCAATAGAATAGCGCCTTACACACAGTATGCACTAAGGAAGCATTAGCTGCTGTTTATTATATCCCCTCTCCTCTCTTGTTCTAGCATAATCCATGCCAGCTCTCTGATTTAATTCTGTAAATGGCCTTTCTATCCTCCCTTCCACCATCCTACGTGCTTTTCTTTACAGTTCTTCCCTCTCCTTCCACTCAGTTCCTTTTCTTCATTCTCTCTCCCACTATCACTCTCACTCCTCTTCTTTCTATTTTGTCTTACCTTATCCTAGTCCATGTTCTTATTTCCTGTCTCCTCTCTGTTGTGGCAGCATTCTGACTCCCACCTCCCTGCTGCTAGTCTCATTCATTTCTATGTCAGAATAATTTTGTAACGTACAGTTCATTGTACCACATCTCTACATTAAAAACAACAAAATAAATGTTCAAATACTTATTTGATTTTTTTTGAAGTTCAGTCAGTGCACTCTGACCTCAGAGCACCCTTCAAACCTTTTCCTCACTGTTTCCCTATCTCCTTTCCCTCCTCCCTACTCCTCTGTTTCATCTGGGTGTTATAGGACAGGGAGAGGGGCAGCCCAAGCCCCGCAAACCTGCCTATTCTAAATGGGTTCTGCCATCCGCCGCATCAACACAAAACATAGGAGACTTTAATGGGAAGGAACTTTAATTAAACTAGGAAACAACACAGGTAAGGCAAAGAGTCTAGTTTCTAAATGAAGCACCCAAAGTTACCCGTCCCCTCGTGGGTAAAAGTCCGTCCATATGGGATCGGCCCAGGACAAGGCCCCAAAGCCTGCCACAAGTCTAAAGCATCTTCCAGTGGGGACCCACAGCAAAGGGTCACAAACAACCGGACAAGCCCGGAAGGAAAAGAGCAAAATCAACATCAAGATAAAAGCTGCCATTGTCACCTCCCCATGGGTCTCACCCACCTCTGTGTCACCCAGTCCACGACCAAAAGACAAGCGCAGTTTCTTCACGTGTCTCTAGGCTCCATGCGCCTCCTCCAGGTCTCCTGGCTCCATCCTGCTTCCTTCCTCCGTCTCTTCCTGCAGCTTCTTCTCTTGCTGCTCAGCTCCACCCTCCCTTGGGTGGGGCAGGGAACCTCCCCCTTTCCTGGGGACCACCCTGTTACATGGGGACGTTCTACTTAAGTGTTTTAAGGACCAAATTATTATTAGTTTTCTTAGTCCTTACCTATTCCTCTCAACTGGATAGAATTTTCCTTTATGTCTTTTTGTGGAAGTCAGCAATACTGTCTTCAAATGAAATTTTTGAGCCATATTTCTTTTTTTTTTTTTTTTAACATTTATTTATATAAGAACTGGGGTACAGCCCAGAGTTACAGGAGGGTGAGAGAATTCACCAGAGACACAGTGGGGAGCAGAACAGGCAGATGACCCAAAACACTGCTGAGGGGAGCAGTGGGTGAGACAGGAGAGGTCTATCGTGCCATGTGGTACCTCCCTGGCCAGCCGGGAATCGAACCTGTGTTGCAGAGGCTGCGGACAGCTTCACGGCACTGCACTCAACCCGCTGCGCCACTGGGGAGGCCTGAGCCATATTTCTTATCTCCTGTGGAATATAACCTGTCTTAGTGTAGATACTGGGTTTAATTAATTCTCTATAATGTCCTTTAGTAGTGTCTTGCACATAGTAGGTACTTAATAAATGTGTGTTATAAGTGAAAGTAAGATTGATGTGGGGGTTTCCTGATAACTGTCTGATGGGTTTTTCTGGTAGCCGTGGTGAGTGGGTGGAAACATTGGTTTTGTTTTCTAAGAGTCAGACATCTTTTCTTTTCAGCCATGTAGGAGAGGCAGAGTCTGTAGTTGTGCTGATGGGTCCCAGAGCCTGTGTCTGTTAAGGGATACCAGCCAGTGCCTGCCATACTAGGTTCGTGCCTTGGCCCCTCAGCCCCTCCCCACAAATGCTGAGCGGAACAGGGGATTAGGTTCTGGCAGCACAGCTGGGATTTTGGCGGCCATTCCACAGTCGACAATAGCACGCAGCCACCCGGACAGGACAGCGCAGGCCTGCACTCCAGGGCCACAGTCTGCCTGGGCTTCTTGTTTGGGTGGCGAGGGGAGGAGCGGGCACAGTGCGGCATCCTGGCCTTGCTGTGTAGAAGGTACGGGCTGGAGAGGTTCCCCTGGGAATGGGCAGGGGTGGGGGTAGGGGGGTGCCCATGTCCCAGGGCAGTCGGGGAAGGCGAGGTGCTTTGTGTGTGAGCTGCAAGTGTGTGCTTAAAGACACAGCCTGCTCTGGAGTAGGCAGGATGCTGCCCCCCTTTTTAAAAGGATCCGTGTTTTGCTTGCTCGCCAAAGATTCTGTTCCCGGGTCTTCCTCCCTGCCCTGCTTGCTGCCAGGCTGGGGGCTGATCTAATCATCCACCTACCTTTCCCTTGCTGTCCAGACAGATGGATAGGCTGTCACTGCTGTCTTAAGAGAGTGAAGGGGGATCTGTCCGGGCGATAACAGGTTTGTCAGGCCACTGAGAGATGTGTTTTGTGTATTTATACCACAGTTGGGCTTGGCTCTTGCCACTGTTGTGGTATTTTTTGTCTGCCCGCTCGTGCCCCGCCATGCGCTCCTTCCCCGCCATGCGTCCTATTCTTCTGTTTGTGGGCCAAGCCTTCTCAGCCCCTCCTCTCCAGTGCGCCCCTCCCTCCTTGCCCTGACTGCCACCCCCCACCCCCCTTGCTGAGAGTTCCCTGCTTTGCCTCCGCTCCCATATTGCGGAAGCTTGCTGTGCCTTTAAAGAAAGCAGACTCCTGGCTGTGACGCACTTCTGGCTGTCAGCCAGGAAGATCGCTCCTGCCAGGCTGACTGAGAAGAAAACCAACAACTTTTCTTTTGTGTGTGGGGTTACTTTCCACTAGCCCCCCCTCCTCCTCTCCTTTCAAGATTTAGATGCTAATGGCGGATTAAAACCTGTAGATACATTTGGCTTTAGGAGTCTGGTAAGGCCCCCTGCACTGAGACTTTTTCTGCCTCACTCTTTCTTTGGGTTTTTGTTCAAACATGGACGAGGGGTGCGGTGGAGTCTCCCCCTTCACCTCCCTTTCCTGCGCCATCCTTAAAGGGGAGGGAGAGGAGAGGGAGAGTGAGTAAACACTCAAAACAGGCGCTGGGAGTGGAGCTTGCCAACATCCGGGAGTTGGCGCCTTTCAGAGCAAAGGGTTGCTTTCTTTCCTGCTCGCATAGATGTCAGCGTGTTTTTGTTCATAGGGGGGAAGTGTGTGTGCCTGCGTGTTGAGCTGTCTCTACAGCTCAGCAGAGCTTTTCCAGTCCTGAGGGAGGCCTGTATGTGTACGCAGTGGTGGGGAGTGAGAAAGGTTCATTTTGTCTGTTGGGTAGGCACCAGGGGGTGTGAGTATAGCAGTGGGGGCAAGTGCTGATGAACTCTGCTGGAGTGGGCTGAGAGTGTGTGTGTGTGTGTGTGTGTGTGTGTGTGTGTGTTTGTGTTTGTGTTTGTACGCACGCCCAGGCTTGCTCACTCTTGCTCGCCCATACAGTGTATAATATAGGCCCCAGGTCTAGTTCGTGATTATAACCGTTTGCCCACGTCCTTTTGATCTGGATCATATGGAGTATTGGGGAAAGGGTCGATATAGTAGTCTACTTTTTTTTTTTTTTTAAAGATTTATTTATTTATATAAGAACTGAGGTACAGTCAGAGGCGTGGGAGGGTGAGAGGATTCACCAGAGACAGAGCTGGGAGCAGAACAGGCAGACGAACCAAAGACACTGCTGTGAGGAGCAGCGGGTGAGGCAGGAGAGGTCTGCCGCGCCATGTGGGTTTCTCCTTGGCCTGCTGGGAATTGAATCCGCGTTGCAGAGGCTGCGGACAGCTTCACAGCACTGCGCTCAACCCGCTATGCCACTGGGAGGCCTATTAGTAATTTATAATCTACTTTTGAAGAAAGAGAGAAATGTTGAGTTTCCTTGCAATTCCACTCTTGTTCCTCACCAACCCATTGGGGTGGGGGTCTGGGTCAAATTCTAGGCGACAAAAAGTGGGTGGTCTGTGAAGTGGGGGAGGCTAGACCCTTTCAGGGGCTCAGGGAATGCATCCAGCATGCTGGTTTGCCCTGACCTCATGCGTGCAGAGAAATCCTTTGGACTTGGACAAGACAGTCTACCCAGGATTGAGGAGGTGAAAACAGTTCTGTTTTTCCCTCCTTATTCTCTCTTGGAGCTGCTGAGCCCTGGATCTTTTACTTCTCCTTGTGAGGGGGATACACCAACAAGATATTTCCTATTCTTTATGAGAGTTAGCCTGTAGCGACAAAACTTGGCATTTGCTAGGCCCAGCTGGCAAAACCTACCAGGTAAGGTCTGGGTGCTGATTGCCTGTGCCTCCTGACCTATCCCCTCGCTGAGTTAGAGTAGGAGGAGCCCCAACATCAGGGTTGTTCACCCTTTCGATGCTGGGGTCTCAGATGGTAGGAGTATTCCTGTTAGAAAGGACAACAGAATTATGGCTGCAGGCAGGCAGGCTGTCAGGGTAAGTGGTAGTAAATCTTGCCATTTAGCATGGGTACGCAGATGTGACTGCTATTTTGTTTATGAGCTGTGGGCCTTTGGAACCATGGGGTAGAGAGGGAGTGAGACTTGGAGAAATACCCTTTGAAGTGGGAGCTTATGTGGGCTTTAGGCTCTGAGATTCTGGGAGTGGGAGTAGCATGAGGAAAGGAGAGTTCAGTGGGGCAAGGCCCTGGAACTGATAGGTCAGTACAGTTTAGCAGCTCTCTGGGACCAAAGGGCACTTTGGTGTTATCTTGAGGTAGGGCTGGTGTTCGACAGGCAATAAGTGGCCAAGAGGCAGTCTCAAATGGAGCTGGCACCCAGGCGGGGGTGGGGTGGGGTAAGGAGAACAGTGTTATCACAACTCAGACCTACTGGCCTTTGGCCTATCACTTGGTCAACCCCTAAAATTGAAACTTTTGCAGAACCAGACCCCAGAGCTCAGCAACCTGACCCTCTGGTCTTGCATCTGAGCAGGTGGTTTGCATTAGTTTCAGGCCCCGTAGAAACCAGAGCTAGGCTTTAACTCTTTGAGAGCCAGAGTGGGTACAGGCCAGGAGACTATGTGTATGTTGCATGTGATTTTTTTTGTCCTGATTTATTTCCTCTGGAAACAGGGGCCTCTGTATATGTGGGAATTTGTCTTATTGGTGAGGGAGTTAATTATGTTATTTACATTATTTTGAAAAATGTAAAGAGGATGCAGGACCTTTAGTTTATAAGGCAGCTGCTTTTGTGTCTTGGTTCCTTCTTGAGCCCAGGGGAAAGCGAGGACACTTTATCAGCTCTATGATGATGCCTCTTTTAGATTCTGGGGGCAGAGGGGGTCACTTCTTTTTTGAAGAACTAGTAGGTGGGAGTTCTGAAGGTGCCCTCAGAGGTCCTGCAGTGAGAGGTTTTGTTTTTGTTTGTTGATGAGGGGTTGTGGGGAATCAGGGGTGTGTGCCTGAGTTGGGGAAGATCTCACCAGATCCTTCTGTGAAATGGTTCCAGGCTACATTTGCCGGGATCTGTTTTTCCAGCACCATCACCAAGTCTTTTGGGTGGGGCCTGCCTCAGATTTCAGGGGGAGGGAGGGGGGATGGTGCTCTGGCTGGGAGCCCTAGGGTTCAAGCCAACGCCTGTTTAAAGTTATAGTCACAGTGTCCAGGACTAACTGTGCTACTAGCTTCAATCATTCATTATGCAGAGAAGAGTAAATGGCTGGGCTGTCCTAAGACTCTCTTCTCAGTGTCCTGTCTGAGAAAGTGTCCCTTTATGAGCTTTGAACTGACTGGGTTCTTCTGGAGTTCCTCATGTTGTGTAGTGTATTCCTCTTACTAGGCCCAGGGGAGCACAGAAGGCATTTGGCCTTGACACCAGCTTTTCTGAGTGGTGGAACTAGTTTTAGACAGGCTCCCCTGGGAGGACATGAGGGTTGTATGTTTTGCCTCTAAATGAAGGGAGGAGGTTGGTTAAACCTCAGGTCATTTTTAGCCGCACAGCTGTGGAATCTCTCAGAGGAGGGGGCAAGATCTACCTCTTGTTGCAAATAAAATTTCTCCTGAAAGTCTTGGACCTTGTCAAAAGGATAGCAAGTCTAGATAGAGGCAGCAGTGGGCATGAGGGAGAAGTAATCTGGGCCTCATTTCTCTGATTCCTGAATAACTCAGCTTTTTTTTTTTTTTTTAAAGAAGTTCTAGTAAAGCATCTGGCCATTGCTGCCTTCACCATCAGGGCCAAGCGTGGTCCCTCCGACGTTAGACTAGCCAGTCACCACAAAAGCCTTTTTACAGTGCAGTAGGCCATCTGCCTTAGGGAGCTAGGCAGTCGGTGCCCATGCTGGGTTGGAAAGGCCATGAGGGTGAAAAATCATTCAAGACTGAGGAACACAGAGGCCCCTTAGCTTCTTCGCCCTCCCAGAGCTTCCTCAGCGTGTTCTTGCCAAAGTCTAGTTGAATTGGTTCATTTCCAAGACTGTCACTGATATGACAGGTGGAATCCATGTTAGGTTTTGCAGGGTCAGGAAGCACTTAATTATAATTAGCATTTAAATTATGCTTTCATTTAATTATTTTCTATTATTAAGTGCCTCAATTATGTTTAATTTCTTTCCTTACGCTACTGTAAGGCCCTCAAAGGCAGGAACCATGTTGTTATCTCCCATTTCCCCCATGTAGCTTCCAGCACAGGATGAAGTAGTTTTAGACAAGCTCCATGGCATGAACGACGAAAAAAATAACCTTTTTTGTTGGCTGGTAAGTGTAGTACACGTTGAATAGAAAGAGATGGGGGGAGTGGATTATCAGATTTATGTATCTCATTTCTCTATTAGACAGCAAATCTCTTACGGACAAGAATAGTGTCTTTCATAACCCCAACACGTTGCATACAAAAGCTGCTTAGTAAATGTTGGTTTCATAGAACCCACACCTTGGAGATGCTAACATGTGGGGATATAGATGACGTGACTCTTATAACTTTATTCCTCCTGTAGTAACACTCTGAGCACCTGGCAGGAGTTGAGGGTTGGGAATGATTGTTCCCTTAGAGAATTGTGGGGGCTGTTAGGAGATGTTGGGGAATATTTAGTCACCAGGCCTGTGTTCTGTTGAGCAGGTTGGCAGACAGGTGGCTAATTCCCAATGGGAAAGAAAATTGGGGATAAGAATTCCAGGACAAGTACCTAATTTTTCACTAAATGCCCCATAGGATCTCCACTAGAATTGGATTTCACTTTAACAAGTCCCCTATTTGAAACCATACCTTTGACATTTCTGTGGGGATATAAAAACCTGGAATTGGAGAGGTATTTCCAAGGGCTTGATTATTAAGTAGAATTTGGATACCTGCAAAAAGAGTCAAAACTTAACCTTCCTACTTTAGATAGTGATCAGTTTTTGAATACCATTTTTCATTTTTATTTTTTAAAGATTTATTTATTTAAACATGCAAGAACTGGCGTCGAGGCCAGAGGTGTGAGTGGGTGAGAGCAGTCATCAGAGGTAGATTGGGAAGCAGAACAGGTGGAATTACTGAGGTACACTGCTGAGGGCTGAGACAGGAGAGGTCTGCTGGGCCATGTGGGTTAACTTCCTGGGCGGGGATTGAACTCTTACTGCAGTGACAGCGAGAGCTTGATAGCGCTGAGACTTTAACCCCTGAGCCACCAAGAAGACCCTGAATACCATTTTTTAAAAAAGATTTATTTATGCATACAAGAGCTGGGGAACAGGCCAGAGATGCGGGGGGTGAGAGGAATCACCAGAGACAGAGTGGGGAGCAGACAGGCAGACGGACTGAAGACATTGCTGAGGGGTGCAGTGGGCGAGACAGGAGAGGTCTGCTGCGCCATGTGGGTTGCTCCCTGACTGGCCGGGGATTGAACTCGTGCTGCAGAGGCTGCAGATCGCTTCATAGTGTGGTGCTTAACCCCTTGTGCCACCAGGGAGGCCTGAATACCATTTTTTAAATATAATTTTTGAACACCAAATAGCTTGTGCAAACTGCTGTGCTATTTGCCTTATCTGCTTTATCTTTGAGCGTTACCGTAACCCAAAGAGGAGTTTGTTGATCCCATTTTACTGATGAGAAAACTGAGACTGAAAGTGATTATACTACTTGGCCAAGGTCTGAACACCATGGTCACATGGAATCAGCATTCAGACCCAGGTCTTTCTGGAAAATTATGTTTGTTCCCTTTTTAAGGCCATCATGTCTCAGAGAAGGGTAAAAGGACAACTTTGTGGTGTTGTCTATGGAACAGACAGATTGCATGTAGAGCTATGGACAGTGAATTAAATGCAGGATTTTTTACTGTGAGCTCTGACGTAATGATAGTTTTACAGTAATTTAGATGTGTGTTTTGAGCTTTCTAAAAATTCCCATGGTGAGTTAAATGCCAGGTGAAAAGTGATTTATTTAAATGTTCAGAGCTGATAATACGCAACTGTTTCCCTTCTCCTTCATCATGAATATCTGATATTAATGAACTGCTTTTCCTTGGGTTCCAGGTGCACTGGGGTGACTGACTGGCATCACCAAGATGACCCTCCATGCCAGCCGGTCTGCTGCACTCCTCTCGTGGGTGAGTGGCCTTCTCTCCTTTGCCAAGCTTCTCCAGGAAGTTTGTGAGGGATCAGAGGGGAGCTTTTTAGGAGCCAGGGCTATGCAAAGTCTCATTTCCAAATTCCTTTGCTTTCCCCTTAGTTTTAACTTTTATTATTATTTCTGAAGATGATACTGATGACTGCTGCTGATAGTGATCCATGACTCTGCTGGTGTAGATCAGAAGAATTTTCTCTGAGATAAATGTTCCCTTTTAGTCATGGAAAGGGTGGCTGCAGAATGACATAGAAACCCATCCTTATCTGCTCCCTATGCACTTTTCTGTCTAGAAAGGTTGATACTAAACTTCACTGAGAGCCAGGAACTTTGGTCTAATCAGAGTAGGATAAGGTTTTCTTGCTCTCCCTCTCTCTTTTTTTTTTTTTTTTTTTCTTTCCTTTTTTCCTTTCTCACTGTCTTTACTATATTTCTGTCAGCCTTCATTGTCCTCTTGGCACCTTGATTACTTCACCAAAATCCTACTGGATCTTGTCATATATTTTCTACACAAGATAATGGCAGATGGGAAAAGTAATACTGAGCATTGGGAATTCAAAGCTACAGAGAAACAGAAGCGGCCATGGTAGTGTGGGATGATACGCTTGGGCCTTGGAGTCAGACAGTCTGGCTTAGAATCACTGCTTGGGCCCATCTGAGTGACCTGGGGCAAGTTACTTAGCCTGTCAGCACCTCATTTAAAAAATAGTAATACTTCTCAGAGTTATTATGAGGATTATGAGATGTGTCTAAAAAATAATTAATGTATACAAATACACACACACAGAAAAAGCCATTTAGCATAATACCTAAGTGATAACTCTTGTTATTTAAAATATTGCCTGAGCATGCTTACTTAGTTCAGGGTTTTTTAATAGTTACTCTGACTGCTGATCAGCTAAGGCTAATTTAAAAGCCAACCTTTAAAACATTATAGAATATTTTAAAGGAAATGAATTTTTAATTTCCAAGACAGGTAGATTTAATAAAACAGTATCTTTAATCACTATCAACTCTCTAGTCAGGAAATAATGTGTTTATTGTACAAAACATGCATTCTTAGACATCTTCCTGAAATAGATGTAAGTTTTAGTTGTATGGTTTAAAATGGGTGTTTTGTTTTTTTTTTTTTAATAATAAATTTTATTGTTATATTCCCCATACAATTGCAGCCCCCCCATTCTGACCCCAATCCCTCCCCCCCCCCCCGCCCCAAAAAAGTGTCTCTGGTTCATAGTTTTTTGTTGATTTTGATTTTCACTTTCTTATAGTTATTTATTTTCCTGGTCCCTTATTTAAGTTTTCTAGATTCCTGCTATGAGTGAGACCATCCGGTATTTTTCTTTTTCTTTTTGGCTTATTTCGCTGAGCATGATCCCTTCCAGCGCCATCCATGTTGCTGCAAATTGCATGTGTTTATCTTTTTTGAATGCTGAGTAATATTCCATGGTATATATGTACCACATCTTCTTGATCCAGTCATCTATTTTTGGGCATTTGGGCTGTTTCCAAAGCTTAGCTATTGTAACTAGTGCTGCTATAAACATAGGGGTGCAGGTGTTCTTTGGAATTGATGTTTCTGTGTCCTTTGGGTAAATACCTAGGAGTGGAATTGCTGGATCATATGGAAGCTCTATGTTTAGTAGGTCCAGAAATCTCCACACAGCTTTCCACAGTGGTTGGACCAGTTTGCACTCCCACCAACAGTGCAGAAGAGTTCCTTTTTCTCCACACCCTCGCCAGCATTTGTTGTTGCTAGTTTTTTTAATATGTGCCATTCTCACTGGTGTAAGATGGTATCTCATGGTAGTTTTGATTTGCATTTCCCTGATGGCAAGTGATGTTGAACATTTTTTCATATGCCTTTTGGCCATTTGCATTTCCTCTTCAGAGAAGTTTCTTTTTAGCTCTTCTGCCCATAAAATGGGTGTTTTTATTATATTTTACATCTTATGTTTACATTACATTTCAATGTTCTATATCTGTATTAACAACATTCTCGTCCTGCTCCTCTTGTCCCCTTACCCCCTAAAAAATAGCTGGTTGATATATGAGGTGCCATAAACTACATCTCTGGTTTGGCAAATTAACTGAATATTGGTGGGGTTTTCTAACCACAATGTTTTTAGTTGATCTGTTTATTTAGGTGCTCCTCCTTTTTTTTTTTTTTTTAAATGGTGATTGCTATTACAGAGAACAGACACAAGATTAGTTATAGCAACAGATACTTGTATATGCTTTTCTCAAAGATCACAGTGAACATGCATTAAAATATAACTATGTAGGCTTTGTCAATTTAAACAAAAGTTAGACAGTTAAAGTGAATAGCATCGACCACACATACACATTTGATAATTACAGCTGTGGTTTAAAAAAAGAAATTCATCTTGGGGGGCCCCCCCGCAGTGGCACAGGCGCTTGAGTGCAGCGCTGTGAAGCTGTATGCAGCCTCTGCAGTGGGGTTCCATCCCAGCCGGCTGGCGAGAATCCCACGTGGCATGGCAGACCCTCCTGTCTCGCCCACTGCTCCCCTCAGTAGTGTCTTTGGTCCGTCTGCCTGTTCTGCTCCCCAATCTGTCTCTGGTGAATCCTCTCACCCTCCCATGCCTCTGACTGTACCCCAGATCTTATATTAAAATAAATAAATCTTTAAAAAAAAATCGTCTAGGGGGAAAAAAGACTAGAAATAAATAAATCAGAATGCTAAAAGTGTATGTATAAAATAGAATGAGTAGGGTGTTTATCAAATTTTCAATACTTTATTTTTAAAGATTCATTTTATTCGTGCAGGAACTGGGGTGTAGGCTAGAGGTACTGGGTGGGGGTGGTGAGAGGATTTACCGGAGACAGAGTGGGGAAGCAGAACAGGCAGATTGACTGAAATACTCTGCTGAGGGGAGCAGTGGATGAGACAGGAGAGGTCTGCTGCGCCATGTGGGTTAGTTCCCTGGCCTGAGATTGAACTAATGCCACAGTGGCACCACCAGGGAGGCCCCCTTCAGTAACTTCAGTAACTTCCTCGTGTAGGCAGAAAATTTCTTTATCTGCTAATTATAAGGAATAAATTATTATAGGGAATAGAGAACTTTTAAGACTCAATAGCCTTCAGCAACTCCGAAAGCCTTTGGTTCTACAGTGAGCTCAGCCCTCATTCTCACATTTCATACCTTGACTAGGGATGGAAGAACTTCTCCTTCCACTTTCAAATGGTTTCTCATTTGAGAGCAAAATAATACACAGGAAGAAAATAAATTTTTATATCCAGGAAAGAAGCTATTGCTGGATTACTACTTTTAATTGGTATGAGATGAATACACATTCCTTAGGTGATTTTAAATCAGCTAATTGGTTTGATTTTTTTCAGACTTGTTAATGAAAAAACATTCATAGCCCTTGAGTGTTCCCCTAGATTGGTGGTATTACAAGGAAGTGGTTTTCATGTCAATTACATTGCAATAAAACTTTTAAAAACAAAAGGATACAATTTTTGGATGCCTAGATTTTTGCAGTCTCTATTTTCAGCAGGTAGGAAGGGATGTTGTTCTGGAAGTCTGGAATATTTAGAATCCTAACCTTTCCCAACTAATTGGATTAAGCCGTTTTTTTTTTTTTTGTTTCAAAAGATGGTATAAAAACATACAGTCTTTAAGATCTCAGTGAGAGATCATATTTTATAGTCCATATTTTTTTTTTTTAAGATTTATTTATTTATTTATTTATACAAGCACTGGGTACAGTCAGAAGCGCGGGAGGGTGAGAGAATTCACCAGAGCCAGAGCGGGGAGCAGAGCAGGCAGAAGGACCGAAGCACACTGCTGAGGGGAGCAGCGGGTGGCAGGAGAGGTCTGCGCGCCATGTGGGACCCTCCTCTGGTGGCTGGGGAGCAGCCGGGGATCAAACCGGCACTGCAGAGGCTGTGGGCAGCTTTGCAACCTGGTGCTCAACCGCTGCGCCACCGGGGAGGCTCTTGTAGTCCATATTTTAACAAAAGTTTTCATCTATTTTAATTTAGGTTCATCTAGAAGTTGTTTTTTGTAAAGTATTTAACTGAAATAGTATCATTTCTGTACTGAACTGTGTTGTTTATTTTTGCTTTTTTACCTTGATTCTAATTATATTGTTAAGAAATAGGAGTCATGCTGGATCTGCTTCATTATTTTAATTTTATTAATCATAATTGTTTTTTATCTAGTACTTTTATTTTGTAATGTGTTCTGCATTCCATTCATAACCCCATTTTTGAAGCCCATGTTTTGTCCTTACAGTATGTGAGGTAGAGATTCCATCCATTTGGTAATTGAAAAAAATAGGCACAGGGCCTCCCCGGTGGCACAGCAGTTGAGCGCTGGATTGCGAAGCTGCTTGCAGCCTCTGCAGCACCTGTTCGATTCCCGGCCACCGGGTGAGGGTCCCACATGGCACGCAGACTTCTGCCGCCCGCTGCTCCCCTCGGCAGTGCACTTCGTCAGTCTGCCTGCTCTGCTCTCCGCTCTGACTCTGGTGAATTCTCTTGCCCTCCCGTGCTTCTGACTGTACCCAGTGCTTGTATAAATAAATAAATAAATCTTTAAAAAAAAAAAAAAGAAAAAAAATAGGCACAAAGGTTTCTGGCAAGTTAGTGGAGGCACTGGACATAAAATCATTGTTTATTTATGCATACAAGAGCTGGGGTACAGGCCAGAGGTGTGGGGGGGAGGGCGAGAAGATCCACCAGAGACAGAGTGGGGAGCAGAACAGGCGGATCTAGTGAAATACATGGCTGAGGGGAGCAGCGGGTGAGACAGGAGAGGTGCTGCGCCATGTGGTCTCCTCCCTGGCTGGGAACTGGTGAGACAGCTTGATAGCGCTGTCTTTAACCCCTGCGCCACCAGGGAGGCCCTCAAGTGTCTCTCAAACATTTATAGGGCCTCCACTGGTGGTGCAGGCGGTTGAGCGCAGCTCTGTGAAGCTGTTTGCAGCCTCTGCATCGCTGGTTCCATCTCGGCTGGCCACCTAGAATCCCACATGGCCTGGCAGACCTCTCCTGTCTCACCCGCTGCTCCCCTTAGCATTGTATTTCATCAGTCTGCCTATTCTGCTCCCGCCTCTGTCTCTGGTGTATCCTCTCATCCTCCCGTGCATCTGGCCTGTACCCCAGTTCTTGTATGCATGAATAAATAAATCTTCAAAGAAAAAAATAAAGAGCATTTATAAACAATAAATCCACTTGTTTGCACATAACCACTCTTGCTAACGTTCTTAAAAGTACCTTGTTAGGCAGACTGCCGCCTCCTTCCTTATTTTTGCATACATGATTGAGTTAGATCCCGTCCTTCCTACATGAAGTAATACAAAGGTAAACTTCAGCCTGGCTTCTTCTGAACTTGGTGCCTGTGGTATTCACAAGGTGTTCCAGAAGTTGGACCATATACGCTTGTTGAACAGCCTATGCACTAGATTCATTTACATGTGACTGGTGGCAAATTTTCTAATGGTACAGACTGTTAGAGTGATGTCTACCTGAAGGCAAAGAAAGGGAACAGGTGATTGAATTGCAATTGACAAGATTTTTTCTGTGGGGTTCCCAGATTTTCTTTCCCTTCCTCCCTTTTTCTTTAGTTATCTTGTTCCTTTGTTATTTCTTCCTCCTCCCTCAGTGAAAGTTGTATGTATGAAAATAATTTTTTGGGTGACCTCCCTGGTGGCGCAAGGGGTTAAGACACAGCACTATGAGGCTATCTGCAGCCACTGCAGCATGAGTTCGATTCCCAACCAGGGAGCTACCCACATGGTGCAACAGACCCCTCCTGACTTGCCCGCTGCTCCCCTCAGCAGTGTGTTTCAGTCAGTCCGCCTGTTCTATTCCCCACTCTGTCTCTAGTGAATCCTCTCACCCCTCCACACACCTCTGGCCTGTACCCCAGTTCTTGTGTGCATAAGTAAATAAATCTTTAAAAAAAGGAAAAAAAATTTTAAGATTTTTATTTATTTGCACAAGAATCAGGGTATAGGCCAGATTCACGGGAGGGTGAGAGGATTCACCAGAGACAGAGTGGAGAACAGAACAGGCAGACTGATGAAATACACTGCTGAGGGGAGCAGAGACAGGAGAGGTCTGCCGCTCCATGTGGGACCCTTGCCGGCCGGCTGGGATCGAACCGGCGTTGCAGAGGCTGCGGACAGCTTCACAGCACTGCGCTCAACCGCCTGTGCCACCAGTGGAGGCCCGAAAATAATTTTCTTTGCATACAAGATCTAGGTGTAGGTCAGAGGTACAGGGGATGGGGGTGAGAGGATTCATTAGAGACAAGGTGGGGAGCAGAGCAGATGGATCTATGAAATACACTAACGGGAACAGTGGGCAAGACAGGAGAGGTCTGCTGTGCCATATGTGGGTTAGCTCCCTGGCTGGGGATCGAACTCAGGCCTTAATGGTGATGGTGCTGAGAATTGACCCCTTGGCCACCAGGAAGTTCCTGAAAATAATTTTTAAAATGCATTAAAACCATTTTATGTCTGTGGGAGTATATAAAATACATGTAGTATTCAGTATAAGTTTTCGATATTTCAAATATTAGAGATACGAAGAGCTATAATATAAAAATTTGAGGTCTAGAGTTTTTTAATGTTTGAGATTTACAAAGTATAAAAAGTTTCTTTTCCCCCATCTCCGATTCCCAGCCATCGGATTCCTCTCTAGAGACAGAGGTGGTTCCAGGTCTTGTGTTCTATAGAACTTAAGGTCTTAGTTGAAGCCCAAAAGGCCTTTGAAGGTAGCATTCAGCTGTTAGTGGTTGAGTAGGTACAACATTTCTTTACTGAAATTACAAGTCCTGAAATTAGCAGGCCTCCCTGATGGTGCAGAGGGTTGAGCGCCGTGCTGTGAAGCTGTCTGCAGCCTTGACAGTGTGGGTTTGCTCCTGGCCGGCCAGCCAGCGAGAATCCCACATGGTGCCACAGACCACTCCTGTTGCACCCACCGCTCCCCTCAGCAGTGTATTTCTGTCGTCTGCCTGTTCTGCTCCCTGCTCTGTTTCTGGTGAATCCTCTCACCCTCCTGCACCTCTGGCCTGTACCCCAGCTCTAGTATAAAAATATATAAAATTTTTTTAAAAATCCTAAAATTAGCTGTTTCTTCATTCCTATAACCTATAACTATATGCACGTGTGATGAGTAGACAATAATTGTCAACATCTGGGAAAAGGAATGAACTGTGGGGCTTTTGGGTACTTATGAGTTTCACCAGCTCTTCCATTTGTCTGGCAGGTGAACAGTCTGCGTGTGGCTGACCCTGTGGAGGCCTTGCTGCAGCTCCAGGACTGCAGTGTCTTCCTCAAGATCATTGACAGGATGTGAGTATGCACCACATCCCCTTTCATCCTCTCCTGTCAAGTGCATAGTTGGGTGGAGACTGCTTTTGCTCCCTTTTCTTGGTGACAGCTGTAGCCAGAAAACAGACAGTATTGGAATGTCATAAGACAGTGTGGAGCGCAGCGCAGGCACGGTGACTTTATCCTCTAATCACTGTGTCTCTCTATGGGTGAGGTTTCACTCTTGTCCCATCATAAGATTTCCTCACTCTTGTCCAGAAGATCCTTCAAATCTCTGCACTCTTACATACGCCAAGAGTATGCTCTGGAGGTGCTTTGTTCTCTTGGCTCAGTGGTAGTTTTCCACAACTCTCTTTCTGTAATTCTGCCATATCCATGAGCCTTGTTTGCAACGTGCAGGACCAGAGGAACAGGGAAATAAGCTGCACAGAAATCTCCTCTCTAGCTTGTTAGCACTATACAGCACAGCCATGCCCTCTTCTAAGCCTTTACAGGATTTCTGGGGTTTCCTCCTTCCTCACTGACTTGCTTTGTGAGGTCCATTAGCTTTTGATAAGCTTGTTGTCATGTAGCCAGGATTCTAGTTTGAGTTCTTTGATTTATTATGTGTCTTTAGCACATTTCCTTTGAACTTCCATGCTTATCTGGGAAATCAGTGGAGCAGGGCCTCCTTTGATATCTTACCTCTTTGGAACCAAGCAACAAGGGATCAAGCTGTGACCTACAGCTACTTTATTTTTATTTAAAGATTCATTTTTATTTATTTATGCATATAAGAACTGGGTTATAGCCAGAGGTGTTGGGGGATGAGACAGAAAGGGGAGCAAAACAGGCAGACTGACTGAAATACATTGCTGAGGGGAGCAGCAGACGAGACAGGAGAGGTCTGCTGCGCCATGCAAGTTAGCTTCCTGGCCAGGGATTGAACTCGTGTTGCAGTGGCTGGCAGTAGCTTGATAGTGCTAAAACTTAACCCCTTGTACCACCAGGGAGGCCCTACAGTTATTTTATTAAGCTCATACAGTTCATCCTTTTTTCCTCTATTATCAACTTTTAGGAATTATGGAGGGCAGAACTGACCTCTCACATCTTTGTCTTCTCTGTTCTGTGGGCAAAGTTAGGCCATCCATAACATAAGGAATTGGGGTAACAGTGATGAGAGCTAGAATCCCTTCTTTTTAAAGGAAAGCACAGTAGACTGTAAGTCCTCAGGTTAAGGATAGAGTGAAATGTCCAACGTATTTATGTTTCACACATGGCAGGTGGTAACTGGTGTTAGGGATTTGGTATCTTGGAAGCAGTTTGGCCACCTATTCATAGGCAACCCATCCTTGACAGACAAAGCAGGTATAATTGAGCTCGTTAAAGATAGCAGGAACTGGGGCTGATTCACCTTGGGGTCCTTGACACCTAGCATGGTGCAGGTGCAGTACATTGATTGTGTGTTGAATGAGTACACGAATGAATGAAAATGTAGTGGTTATTCTCCATCGGCAAAGTCTAGTGGGCTAAGTTGCCCAGGACAGATGGGCTTGCTAGAGTGGTTTTTAATGGTATGTTTTAAAATGGATATTTGTAGTAGGGTATCTTTTTTTTTTTTTTTTAAAGATTTATTCATTTATTTATAAAAGAACTGGGGTATAGACCAGAGGTGTGGGAGGGTGAGAGGATTCACTAGAGACAGAGCAGGGAACAGGACAGGCAGACTGATGAAATACACTGCTGAGGGGAGCAGCAGGCGTGACAAGAGAGGTCTGCCACGCCATGTGGGACCCTCGCCGGCCCGGGAACAAACCGGTGCTGCAGAGGCTGTGGACAACTTCACAACACGGCGCTCAACCACCTGTGCCACCAGGGGAGGCTTAAAAGATTTCTTGAAAGTCATTGTGGCTCCCACCACAGCTCCCTTAGTGCCTCTGAAAGAAGTCACTTCTTGTTTTGGTAGAGGCACTACCATTTTCTCTTAGAATTACTAAGGCAGGACATTTCAGTGTCATTTTGAATTCCTCCCTTTCTTTGGCAGTGATTGCCATGATCTCTTACTCCAGGGCATTGCTGTACACGTTTGCAGAACCTTCCTTCAATTCTGCTTTGTTGTGATGCTGCGCAGCCCTTGGACCTCCTTCGTTGCCAGGCCCATCTCCCACCAGTCATGTGTCCTACTCTTTTCTGCCTCCTTACCCAATCCTTTTTTTTTTTTTTAATTTTGCAGAATTTCCTAAATTCTGGATCTTGTTAATTGCCTCATCATGGTGCTGCTTAACTTACTCTTCTTTTCCTCGTTACCTATAAGCTTGTAATTAGAGCTTATTGATTAACACTTTGCTTTTGTTTACAAGACTACTAAATAGACGGAGTTGTACACCATCTATAAGTCAGCGTTTTCCGACTCGTAATAAAAATCATTGTTTTGCAGACCCTAATGAAGTGGTAGATCTAGGCAACCACTGTCAATGACTGGTGGTTCCTAACCTGTTTAATTTTAGCATCAATAAAAGAGAGGCTTCCAGGTCTGATATACCTCATGTTGAAATATAGGTGCAGCATGCTTTTTTTTTTTATCTTAAATAGATCAGAGAGCTTTTGCTTTTGAGGAGGTAGAATTCCTTGCCTGATGACAAGGCGGTAGATTTTTTCAGGGGTGAAGATAAAAGGATATGTGTTTTTGGTTAGCCATTGTAGGTTTATAACCTGGTGGGAAATTTTCATAGGAGAGGGCAGAAATTCAAGTTGTTCATATTCTAAGTTGTCTTAGGGTGGTGCATAAGCCTGTGGACTTACGGCGAGGTGAGAAGAGAGAGAGAGAAGAAGCGCACACACGCGCGCGAGTGCGTGCAGGACAGTTAGTGGGAGGGGCTATTGAAATTCCACACATTAACCCTCATCTCCATCTCAGATCCAGGACAATGCAGACCAAATTCCTTTGGGAACACATGTTCTTTAGGGAATGTGCTGTTGCACTTCTGCTGAGGCTCTGTTGCTGACCCAAATCATACACCTAGTTCTCAGGGGAGGCAGCGTAGGATGGTGGTGTTGCTTGCTGTTAGAACTGTGGGAATGAACAAGGCTTGTTCCTTCACTGCTTGGCCTCTTCTCTCTGAGAAACAGATTATAGGAATCAACCTCTTTGACAAGTTTCCCTTTCTGTTCTTTGTATGTGAATAGCCTGAAACAAACAGACTGTTCATATCTTTGATGTCTATGAGACTTGAATAGCAAAGTTTAGTGGAGGCATTTTGCTAGATAACTAAAACCCTGATACTGATCTTTCTGACATTTACCTCTGCACTTCCCCATAAAAAAACATCTCTTATCTGTTAGCCCTTATATACTGAGCACCTGCTATATTCTTAGCTTCTAAGTCACAGTTAATGGGGTCAGTTGTACATGATGCAGTTGTACCCTCCAGTGCTGTAGGAATTCCTGGGAGGTGGGTGGAGGTGTGACTGGCAGTAGTTTTCTGGGTGGCATCCTGCCAGAGATGAAACTTGAATGCAGTCCTAGAGGATGGACTGGATTCCTCTAGGATAAGCTTTTTTCCAGAGCATGTTCCATGCAGCTTAACTTACCCCAGGAATTTAATGGGAGAAAAAGGTTTTGTGGTCTAACAGGTTTAGGAAATAACAGATGTTGTATACTCTTCTTTGAAAAATGTTGGATTTGCTTTAATCCAGCATTTCTCATTCAGCCTGAGAGCCCTCTTTATTTTTATCTAATGGAATACACTTAGGTAAATTACTGTTCTACACTGAGGCAAGGAGTCACAACATTCCAGATTGTGGGTGGGTAAGGAAGCTGGCTCTTAGGAGTCTGAGGAGATTAACATCTCCTAAAGACTTTGTAGGAGTGCCTAATCACAGACCAGCTTCCCAGAATGCTGCTTGTGGGAGGTTCACTTGGGAGAAACCTTTGTAATGACGTGGGAGATGGTGAGAGCTACCATCGTGTCTTGACTTGGATGCTTGTGCTTTGTAGGATGTCTGGCACTGAAGGTTCTAGGACCTGCTGTGCTCTCCAGAAAGTTGGCTGAAACTTGGTGATTCAGGTTCTGAGGAACAAGATATTTAATCAATATCTCCAGCCATAGCATAGTATTCAATTCACCCCCAGAAGTGAAACTGCAGCTAAAGGAAGCATGGGGGCTGCTGTCTGAGCTGCTTGAGAGCACCCCCTACTGCCACCTGCCTGCATTGCGCTCTGCACATGTTGCTGCCTTCCCATGTTAAACAAACATAGACAGGGCCAAGATCAAGAGTATTGCCCCTTCCTGTGGCCTTTGTGATAGGGAAGACTTTAGCCATCTCAGCTTTCAGCCTGGTGTGTGTTCCACTTTTCCCTATCAAGTCAGAGCCTTGTTCTCGCATGTTCTTTCAGTTCTTAGACCTTTTTTTCCCATTCCATTGCCCTCTCTTGCTCTTACTCTAACCATGTTTTTCAGGCTTAACGACCTTATTCATAGTTGAGCCATTCAACACCGGGGAATGTAGCTTCTGTATTGTCTCCTCCTAGCCATTTTCCCACAGAAGGTTTTATTTTCACAGATGGCATGGGAGTGTAGTCTTTTCCAGTGGGGATCTCCTGCCTCAGGTGCCTACTGTGTACTCTTTACCCAGCTCCTTCAGACAAAGTGGTGTCTTAGGATCATCTTCCCTGCCTCTACTGACTCTGGTTCTTTTCCAGAGCCAGTGTAGACCAAGGCTGAAGGAAGGGAAGGTACTATGTAGTGCAGTAGCAAAGAGGGAAGGATTATTAAGTACTCTAGTCCTAACACTTGCTCTTTTTCTAGCCATGGCACTGACGAGGGACAGCAAATCCTGCAGCGGCCGGCACCAGAGAGACTGGATTTTGTGTGTGTTTTTCTGCAGAGTAAGCACCTTTTTTAATCTCACTGGGAAGTTGCTGCTTCCTCAACTCCTGGGACTTGGGAGGCTAGAGAACAGTTCACAGATGTCTGAGGAGCAAAGGCCCAAAGTTGCCTGCTCTGTACCAGCTTCTCTGAGCCTGGTGTTGCCATCACCCGTTAGAGGGGAGGGAAATTTTCCCTTCAGGCCCAGAGCCCATCCCCGAGATTCAGATAGAACCAAGGGTTGATATGGAGGACACATCACTTTGGGCTCTTGTTTCTCCCACTGTAAAGGGATGAACGATCCATGTTACCCTCTTTCCCTTATAAGAATAACATTTTTTTCCCAGATAACTTTGTTTTTTAGTAGTAGTGGTAATATTAGTAGTATTTTAAAGATTTATTTATTTATGCATAGAACTGGGGTATAGTTCAGAGGTATGGGGGGTTGGTGAGAGGATTCACCAGAGACAGAGTGGGGAGCAGAGCAGGCAGATATACTGAAATACACTGTTGAGGGGAGCAGCAGGTGAGACAGGAGAGGTCTGCTGCACCATGTGTGGGTGAGCACCTTGGCCAGGGATCGAACTCAGGCTGTAGTGGTGATAGCACTGAGACTTAACCCCTAGGTCACGAGGGAGGCCCAGGGACAGAGGCAGATTTAGGTTGAGATCTTGTGTGACCTTTCTGGACATAGGTTCCCTGTCTATGAAATGGAGATATTTTCTTTTCAGGTTGATGGGCACATGCAGAGCTTCTAGCACAGTGCTTGTCAGTTACCCTTCTTACAGCTGTGGAGACAGAATCTTCATCTTTGACATGGGAACTACCCCTCCAGCTCACAAAAAGCATGTGTGATAACAGAGTAGACTAAGTTAGATGTTACTGAGTCCAGATCTTCTGGCAGCATAAGAACAGTTGTCCCCAGTCCTCCTTGTTCAGCTCAGCTTCCTCTGCAGTCTTGTTTGGAACAAGAGTCTAGAAAGACTTGTATTCTCTGGGCTCCTTTGTGGTACTGAGCAGGAGGTGCTATGTGGGTGGAGAGTGCGATGTCATGTGCCAGAGCTGTTATGCCTTCCCAACCTGCTTTCTTCTTGAACTACCCCTGTAATCCTTGTGCTGGCCTGGGCTAGAACTAACTTCAGATGGAAAGTGCATGTCACAGAAGAAAAGACTTAGGAGTAAAGAGCCCCGAGGTCTCCTAGTCTCACCAGAGACATGATTCTGCTCCTCTGACTCTGTGGTGTTTTGATGAACTCAGGGAAGGTTCCCAAGAAGTTCACCCTGTTTTCTGTGTTGTCAATATAGAAAACCGAAAACATCCCTCTGCCCCGGAATGCCTGGTGTCAAGGCAGAAGGTGATGGAAGGGTCAGAGCTGGAACTGGCCAAGGTACCTTTGAAATACCAGACTGGTGAGGGTGGGAGGGTGGCACTGGAGGGACCTGCAGGGCCCTGTCTTAATCCAGGGGAAGTGGTGAACATTTTTAAGGCTTTAGGAAGTCAAGGCAGCCACCTGGCTAATACTATTGCAGCCCAAGAATATAGGAGTTCGTGTTGTATGAAAAAAGAGATTTGTAACACCATTATTGTGGACCATGATGGAGATGTGGCAAGCATCAGGCTTTACCCAGCTGCCATATTTTTCTTTTACTTCCTTACTGCTTGTGTTTCTGGGTGTGGCCTGGAGAAGGTGCCTTAGGCCTCATATTCAGGGTTCTGTGAGTTCAGGAATTTAGCTTTGTAGCGATCTGACTCCCAGCTTTTTCTACAGGGGGCATTGAGTCCTCAGCTGTTTCCTGGTGCAGTTAAGGGCAATAACCTGGGGCTGCTGAATCTTAGGAGCTTTGGAAGAAACTCCAGAATAGCTCAGCGCCCCCAGGACAACCCAGAGGGGTAGCACTAGAAAGAGAGATAGCCCTCCTTTCTAGTCACTACTGCCTCTGTTTGGCTTCTAGATGACCATGCTGCTTTTATACCACTCCACCATGAGCTCCAAAAGCCCCAGGGACTGGGAACAATTCGAATATAAGATTCAGGTAAGTCCTTATGCCTCCACATAGTGGGCCTAACCTATACTTCACCTCCCCATGTTTGTTGTTCTTTAAATAGCATATTTTGTTTTTTTAAAAAGTTGTTATAGTCATTACAGCCATTTAGTATAGAAAGTCAGGGAAATACTGGAAAAGTACAAAGAAGAAGGTAATAGTCGCTAATAATTTCATTCCTGTAGATAACTGCTAACTTTTAAAGGATATACTTAAATCCTTTTCCATGTATATGTATTTTACTGTAACTGTGCTGTGTATGGGTAATACATAGAAATTGCATTCTCTTCATGTGTTCCTGCATGCGGTGTATGTTTACAGGCTGTCACTCCCTTTAGTAGGCAGGATCAGTGAGGGAGAGTTCTTTGTCCACCATGACAGCTTAGCTCAGAGCAATTATCTCCCCTCCCCTCCTCTGCATGGTCCCAGAGTGAAGAGGGACTGATGTACTGGCTGCATTGTTGGGGAACTGACCTGATTGCTAGGAACTACATGTCACGGGCTCCTGATGTTGGCTCTGCTTCCTGCATGAGCACCTGTCTTACTTCCCAGAGCAGAGCAGCTGGGATGCCAGCATGGGTGACCTGTGGGGCAGCGTCTGGAGTGCTAGGAATGTTGGCATATCCCATTTCATGCTTGTTCTTGGCTCTCTCTCTGGGATTAGGGTTGTGGTGGCATTTGCAGGGAGGGGAGGGGGAATGGCTGTTTCTTTTTTCAACTTTTTTTGTGCTCCAAACTAGTCCTAGATCTGTTGGACACAGAAATTCTACAGGAATAAGCAGCTAAATTATAGTTAACTGGGAAAGTCCAATCAACTCTGTAGCTTTGGAATTCAGGCTAGGCAGGGAAGATTTTACAGCTGAGCCAGTGGATTAAGCTATGGATGAGCCCCAGGTGAACTGGGGCTGGTGAGAACTGAGCCCCAGTTCTCACTCGGAGAACAATGGTGAGGGTCACCTGGAAGTGGCCAACATAGTTCTATAGAAAGCTTTCTTACTGCATTTCTTTCTTTGCCCTGTTATTTTGCTTGTGGTCACAAGTGAAGTCAGTTAAAAACGCTTGTCTGACCCCAGGTGCATTTTTAGGAGAGGACGCGGGGAAGGGACAAGCAGGGTGAACATATCTCTAGTAGTGGGACTTCTGGCTGGGAGAGGAAGGATGGGCTCCCACAGGCTCCTGGGGCAGGCGATGCCCAGATGACTCAGAACTCCGACGTAATGGTTTCTCTCTCTGCGACCCAGGCCGAGTTAGCTGTCATCCTAAAATTTGTGCTGGACCATGAGGATGGGCTAAACCTGAACGAGGATCTGGAGAACTTCTTACAGAAAGGTAACTAGGGGCCACTCCTGAGGATCCCTTCTTGTCTGAGCTGGGTCTGCCAGGATCCTGCTAGGAAATATGGTGGGGGGTTGTCTTTTTCCCCCAACAGAAGGCATAGGTGGGGCTCAGGAAAAGTGTGTAATGGGGTAGGCCAATTTTGGGACCCTGTAGCTGTCATCCTAGTTCCTGCGATGGGAGCGCCTCTTGCTGCCTAGCAGTAGCTAAGCATAGCATTTATAAGTGATTGTGTCTGCTGTTAGGGTGTCCTTGATCCCTCTCCATACATACTTTCTTTGTTGTTTTTTTTCCCAACAACCACCACCCTAAGCTTTAAAGCTGAGAGTACAGTCTTAAAAACATGGTTTTACCATAAGAAGCCTGTATGTTTTATGAGGTAAGGCAGATAACTAAGTATGATAAGGAATGAGTGCTGGGACAGAGAGATGCCGAATCTACCAGATTTCTTGCTGCCTGGAAGAACAGTAGAAAGAGAGAGAGCCCTGTCGAGTAGGGGATCTAGTGATGAGAATGTGAAACAGAGGTCTAGGCATGTTCTCTTCTAGACGCTGAATTTGATGTTCCTTGTGTTCAGGTTCTTCATGAACCCTTCAGATGGAGTTGTTGGAATGTATGTCTAGAAGGCAGGAGAGGACTCTGGCCCAGGTTATGGGCTTGGCTGACCATCGCAGCCATGGCACTATGCCCAAAGCAAGGCGGCCCCATCAGAACTCTAGGGTTTACAGGGTGGGTGAAGGAGAGAGGAGCGGATTAAGGAGACTAACGAGGGGTATTTAGTGGGAGAATCATGAGGAAGTCATCTTGGGAAACAAGGGGAAAGGTTTTGAGAAGGTTGTGTTGCCAGTGCAAGATTTCAGAACAGAAGAGTTCAGAAAGGAGGCCAGAGGCTCTGGCCTGAGAGGCCTGGGACTAAAGAGATGTTGCTCAGGGCTCCCAAGCTGCCTCTGCAGTGTTGGCTTCTGGGAAAAGCATGAGCACCTTGTCATCTGTATACATAGAGGACTCTCTCCCTCCACTGTTCTTCGCTCCCCCCGGCGAGTTCTCAGATTGCATAAAAATACAAATCCAGTCATATTCTGACTACCCGCTTTGTGGTTTGTTTGCTGCTTCTCCCTAGCTCCTGTCCCTTCCACCTGTTCCAGCATCTTCTCTGAAGAATTGTCCCCCCCGAGCCACCAGGCCAAGAGGGAGGTTCACTTCCTTGAGCTACAGAAGGTTGCCTCCTCTTCCAGTGGGAACAAGTACGTGCTGGGAGTATTGTCCTGGGATGGGGTCTCAACTCAGCCTTCAAGTGGCTATAATTCTAGAGGCTGAGCTGTTCACCAGCCCCTCTTACTTCATCAGAGACTTATAGGATCTCGCCCCTGACCCAGTACTGATTGGGGGAATTAGTTGGGCTCTATCTTGGGCAGAAGGCCTCTAAAAGGCAGTTCTCTATTTATGGAATTCCTTTCTTAGAGACTGAAGATCCTACTCTTAGTGCAGTTCTGCAGAGGCAGAACCCTCCCTTGAGTGGAGGTGGGAGGGGAGCAAAGAAATTGGCTCGGAGAAGGAAAGTTTTCACAAGTTCTGTCATGAGGTGTGAGGTAGCACTGCTAACAGAACCAGGTGTTTGGGCCTCCTAGTCAGTCAGTCAAGGCCTGTTCATGCACCCGCCCCCCACTGTTGGTCATTTCAGCCCTTCTGTCACATCTCCGGCTCTGATCATGGAATCTGGGGGAGGGGGCAGCTTCACAGCCCAGCGCTCAACCGCTGCGCCACCAGGGGAGGCCCTGATCATGGAATCTGGACCATCTCTTTCAGCTTCCTTGCAGGGTCTCCTGCCTCACCCATGGGCGACATTCTGCAGACCCCACAATTTCAAATGAGACGGCTGAAGAAGCAGCTTGCAGATGAGAGAAATAATAGGGATGAGCTGGAGCAGGAGTTGGCTGAGAATCGCAAACTCCTCACTGAAAAGGGTAGGTGCCGACGGCCTGGCAGGTCTTTATGCAGGAGCCACTTACAGGATTTCCACCCAGTGAAGAGCTGAACTCATCTGAGGAAAGGCCCCTCTACCTCCCATGTGTCCCCTCTGCGGGCCCTGGAATTTCGAGCTCAGTCCCGGGCTTGTCAGATTGACCTAGAAGCTGGCTCTGCCCTTGCAACTATCCTCCTTTTCTCTCAGATTGGCTGCCTCCTTGCCCCTCTTCCCCTCCCTTGTTCTGTGCTCACTGCCCTCCTCTTTCCTCCTCTGGGCAGATGCACAGATAGCCTTGATGCAGCAACGCATCGACCGCCTGGCTCTGCTAAATGAGAAGCAGGCAACCAGCCCACCGGAACCCAGGGAGCTCGAGGAGCTCCGGGTCAAGAATGAGAGGTAGTTTTCCCTGGTTTCTCCTCACCTCCCTGATCTCTGCCTCACCCATCCCTTCCTCCCCCCACCCTCACCCAAGACCCTGGTGAACTATACCGTTGTCTCCTGCCCTCCGGCAAGCCTCACTGTGCGACTCCACGAGACTCTGAAGCAGTGCCAGGACCTGAAGACGGAGAAGGGCCAGATGGATCGCAAAATCAGCCAACTTTCTGAAGAGAATGGGGACCTTTCCTTTAAGGTGAGTAGTGTTGGGGGTCTGATCCCCCACATAGACTCCTAGGGGCTGAGTTCGTATGGAAGAGCCCGCTACCAAGAGGGCTGAGAAGAGTGTCCTGTTCAGTCTCTCCAGAGACCTGCATCTGCCACCAGGAATGGTACCAGCCAGGAATGAGTTATTGTCCTGAGGTTTTTTTTGTTTGTTTGTTTGTTTGAATTTATATAAGCATTGGGTACAGTCAGAAGCATGGGAGGGTGAGAGAATTCACCAGAGCCAGAGTGGGGAGCAGAACAGGCAGACTGATGAAATACACTGCTGAGGGGAGCAGCGGGCGGCAGGAGAGGTCTGTGAGCCATGTGGGACCCTTGCCCGGCGGCCGGGGATTGAACCGGCGCTGCAGAGGCTGCTGGCAGCTTTGCAACCCAGTGCTCAACCGCTGCGCCACCGGGGAGGCCCTCGTCTTGAGTTTTGATTTGTAGTCTTGAGTTTGAGATGTGATTAGTTGCATTTGGTTTGAGGAGGGTTGGAAGGAAAGTCCTAGGCATCTGGTGCCTGGAGGTCGGGGAGCAGATGGCAGTGGTGATGGCAATTTTGATTCTGGGTGAAGGGATTCACACTTTTCTGTCTCAGCTGCGGGAGTTTGCCAGTCACCTGCAGCAACTACAGGGGGCACTGAACGAACTGACCGAGGAACACAACAAGGCCACACGGGAATGGGTGGAGAAACAGGCCCATCTGGAGAAAGAGCTGGGCACAACCCTGCAGGACAAGGTAATAACCCTTTGCTGTGGGAGTCGGGTCACAATCTTGACTTCATGTTCAAAGTTGAATTCTGTTTACGAGTCCCTTCTCCAAGGCTTTAGAGAATTAGTATGACTTCTCTTCAAGATTTAATAGTGTGCTTTAATGGAAAGATTGTGAATTTACGTGCAGTACACCTTTGAATCCTGTCTCTGCTATTTATAGGGTGTGGATGTTGAACAAGTTATTCTTTTTTTTCAAAAAGATTTATTTATGCATACAAGAACTGGGGTACAGGCCAGAGGTGTGGGGGGGGTGAGGGGATTCACCAGAGACAAGAGTGGGAAACAGATCAGGCAGACTGACTGAAGTACACTGCTGAGGGGAGCAGCAGGGAGACGAGAGAGGTCTGCTGCGCCATGTGGGTAGTTCCCTGGCCAGCCTGGGATTGAACACGTGCTGCTGAGGCTGCAGACAGCTTCATAGTGCTGTACTTAATCCCTTGCACCACCAGGGAGGCCCAGGTCCCATGTTTTGTTGATGTTCTTGAGGGTCTTTGTGCCTGTTCCACATATGTTCACATGGGGTTCTTTATTCTCAGAAATGCCTTGAAGAGAAAAATGAAATCCTTCAGGGGAAACTTTCACAACTGGAAGAACATTTGGCCCAGCTGCAGGAGAATCCAACCCGGGAGAAGGGCGAGGTGCTGGGTGACGTCTTGCAGGTAGGGATGCCCAGGAGCAGCAGAACAACCTGTGTGCAGGGCTGGCCTGGTCTGGACCCATTTGGCATGTTTAGATTCCTGGCCATCCTAATTTCCAGAGGGGCCATGGTAACCAAGAGTCATGCTGATTCCTTTTTGTCTCTTTTCCTCACCAGTTGGAAACCCTGAAGCAAGAGGCAGCCACTCTTGCTGCAGACAACACCCAGCTCCAAGCCAAGGTGGAGGCAATGGAGACTGAACGGGGCCAGCAGGAAGCCAAGCTGCTTGCTGAACGGAGCCACTATGAAGAAGAAAAGCAGCAACTGGCTGGCCTGATTGCCCAGCTGCAGGTCTCCCTGGACAACCTCAGACAGGCCAAGGAAGAGCTAGAACAATCCTCCCAGGCTCAGGGGACCCGACTTGGTGCCCAGGTGACCACGCTGACCTCTGAAATCACCACCCTCAAAGCCGCACTCCAGGAGCAGGATCAAGAACTGGCTAGCCTGAAACAACAGGCCAAAAATGAGCAGGCCCAGCTAACACAGACCCTCCAGCAACAAGAACAGGCCTCCCAGGACCTTCGCCACCAGATGGAGCAGCTGAGCAGCAGCCTGAGGCAGAAGGAGCAGCAGTTGGAGGAGGTGGCCAAGGAGCAGGAGGCAACTAGGCGAGAGCACACCCAGCAGTTGGCTGCTGCTACTAAAGAACGGGAAGCCTCTTTCAGGGAGAGGGATTCGGCCCTCCGGCAGCTGGAGGCATTGGAGAAGGAGAAGGCTGCCAAGCTCGAGCTCCTGCAACAGCAGCTTCAGGCTGCTAATGAAGCCCGGGACAGTGCCCAGACCTCAGTCAAACAGGCCCAAAAGGAGAAGGCAGAGCTGAGCCAAAAGTTGGAAGAATTCCGTGCCCAAGTTGAGGCAACCCGCCAGGAGCAGGGTGAGACCCAGGCCCAGGTGGCAGAGCTAAAGGCCCAACTGAGGTCTGAGCAGCAAAAAGCAACCGAGAAAGAAAGGGTGACTCAGGAGAAGGGCCAGCTGCAGAAGCAGGTTCGGGCCCTGGAGGAGTCCTTGAGGCTTACCCAGGGCAGCCTGGAAGAGGAGAAGCGCAGGGCTGCAGATGCCTTGGAACAGCAGCAGCGCTGTATCTCCAAGCTGGAGGCAGAGACCCAGAATCTGCTGGAGCAGCATAAGCAGGGACGGAAGGAACTGGAAGAAGAGAAGGATGGGCGCAAGGGACTGGAGACCCAAGTGCAGCAGCTTGGGGAGGCCCATCAGGCTGAGGTGCAGGGCCTGCGACGGGAGCTGACCGAGGCCCTGGCCTCCCAGCACAGGGCCAAGAGTGAGTGTGAGCAGCTTGCCAAAGAGGTGGCTACCTGGCGCGAGCGGTATGAGGATAGCCAGCAAGAGGAAGCACGCTATGGCGCCATGTGCCAGGAACAGATGATGACCCTGAAGGAGGAATGTGAGAAGGCCCGCCAGGAACTCCAGGAGGCAAAGGAGAAGGTGGCTGAGGTGGAGGCCCACAGCGAGCGCCAGCTAGGCCGGCAGCAAAGTGAACTAGCTCAGCTGCATGCCAACCTGGCCAGAGCCCTCCAGCAGGTCCAGGAGAAGGAGGTCAGGGCCCAGAAGATTGCAGATGACCTCTCCACTCTGCAGGAGAAAATGGCTGCAACCAGCAAGGAGGTGGCCCACCTAGAGGCCTTGGTGCGCAGGGCAGGTGAGCAGCAAGAAACAACTTCCTGTGAGCTACTCAAGGAGCACCCAAGGGCAGGAGACCGAGAGTCAGAGTGGCTGGAAGAGCAGCGGGGTCGCCCATTCTGCAGCACCCAGGATGCACTGCAGGCCATGAAGCGTCAGGCAGAGCAAATGGGCAGTGAGCTGGAGAGGCTGCGGGCTGCGCTGATGGAGAGCCAAGGACAGCAGCAGGAGGAGCGTGGACAGCAGGAGAGGGAGGTGGCAAGGCTGACCCAGGAGCGGAGCCGGGCCCAAGCTGATCTTGCCCTTGAGAAGGCTGCCAAGGCGGAGCTTGAGATGCGGCTGCAGAATGCCCTCAATGAGCACCGTGTGGAGTTTGCTGCCCTGCAAGAGGCACTGTCCCGTGCGCAGGTGGAAAAGGAAGAGAAAGCCCAGGAGCTGGTCAAGTGGCGTGAACACGAGGCGGCCCACAAAACGGAGCTGGGGGAGCTTCAGCAAACTGTGGAGCAATTGAAGACACAGCTTGCCAAGAAAGAGGAAGAACGCCAGCAGTCTGTAGTGAAAGCCGGTGGAGGAGATGTTTCTGGGTCAGGAGCCCAGTCTGAGACAACTGGAAAGACAGAGCAAAAAGGTGCTGAGCTGGAAGCTCTGCGGGCAGAAGTGAGCAAGCTGCAGCAGCAGTGCCGGGAGCATCAGCACAAGGCCTCTAGCCTGGAGCGCAGCCTAGAGTCTGAGCGCGCCTCCCACACTGAGCAGGCCAAGGCTCTGGAGACATTGCGGAGCCAGTTAGAGGAGAAGGCCCAGGAGCTGGGACATAGTCAGGACACTTTAGCCTCCACCCAAAGGGAACTGGCCACCCTCCGCACCAAGGCTCAAGACCACAGCAAGGCTGAGGATGCGTGGAAGGCCCAGGTAGCCCGGGGCCAGCAAGAGGCTGAAAGAAAAAACAGTCTCATCAGTAGCTTGGAGGAGGAGGTGTCCATCCTCAACCGCCAGGTTCTGGAGAAGGAGGGTGAGAGCAAGGAATTGAAGCGGCTGGTTGTAGCTGAGTCAGAAAAAAGCCAGAAGCTGGAGGACAGGCTACGCCTGCTCCAGGCCGAGACGGCCAGCAGCAGTGCCAGAGCTGCTGAACGAAGCTCTGCTCTGCGGGAGGAGGTCCAGACCCTTCGGGAGGAGGCGGAGAAACAGCGGGTGGCTTCAGAGAGCCTACGGCAGGAGCTGGCCTCCCAGGCCGAGCGAGCAGAGGAGCTGGGCCAAGAGTTAAAGGCGTGGCAAGAGAAGTTCTTCCAGAAGGAGCAGGCCCTCTCAGCGCTGCAGCTCGAGCACACCAGCACCCAGGCCCTGGTGAGTGAGCTGCTGCCCGTCAAGCACCTGTGCCAGCAGCTGCAGGCTGAGCAGGCAGCTGCGGAGAAACGCCATCGTGAGGAGCTGGAGCAAAGCAAGCAGGCAGCTGGTGGGCTGCGGGCGGAGCTGATGCGAGCCCAGCGGGAACTCGGGGAGTTGGTGCCCTTGCGGCAGAAGGTGGCAGAGCAAGAGCGAGCAGCCCAGCAGCTGCGAGCCGAGAAGGCCAGCTACGCAGAGCAGCTGAGCATGCTAAAGAAGGCTCACGGCCTGCTGGCAGAGGAGAACCGGGGGTTGGGCGAGCGAGCAAACCTTGGCCGGCAGTTTTTAGAAGTGGAGCTGGACCAGGCTCGGGAGAAGTATGGCCAAGAGCTAGCAGCTGTGCGTGCTGACGCCGAAACCCGCCTGGCTGAGATGCAGCGGGAAGCACAGAGTACTGCCCGCGAGCTGGAGGCGATGACTGCCAAGTACGAGGGTGCCAAGGGCAAGGTCCTGGAGGAGAGACAGCGGTTCCAGGAAGAGAGGCAGAAACTAACTGGCCAGGTAAGGTGCCAGCTCAGTCCCACACCCCAAGATCAGACCTGAGAGGGGAGACACTGTCCCCTCTGCGTTCCAGGGCCTCTGGCCCCCACAGTGTCGGAGTGTCCTGTCCCTCCCACTGTGTGACTGGGAGGAGTTTAAGTCTTGCCCCTTAAAGAAAATATTCACAACCTCCCTGCCCCTGGCTCTGTCCTCGAGTCCAGCCCTGAAGGCCGCCAGCCCGTTCTGGAGGCACACTGTGAGGAACACCTGCAGTGGGCGCCCCAGGAGGCCCTGGCAGCTACAATGAGCCACATACATTTTAAAAGTTTCTACACGTCTGGCTCCTTGGGCACCGTGTCAGAGCTGCAGTGCCTCTTGGGCTCCCATGCCCCGTCTGCATTGTTCCTCCCCTCCATGCACAGGTGGCGCGAGTAGAGGTATTTCAGGGGGAGCAGGGTAAGCAGGTCATGCTGGGGGCTCTAGAGCAGTACAGGTAGACCTGCAGCTTGCGCCCGCCAGCTCCCGGGGTGAACTGTTAGTGACGGGGGCAGTGCCAAGCCACGAATCCAGTGCCAGGCTCAGGTGTGCCGTGTGCTAGGCCTTCTCTCGCGCCTCATCCTACCCATGCCAGGTCAGCCTCTCCAGCCTCCTACACGCTCAGTGTCATCTGCCTGTCAGGGAGGAAGGGTAGGGGAGGCTTCATCTGTCCCTCATCAGAACCAGTGACAACCCTTGGGATTGTAAAAGCTCCCAGTCTTGTTCCAGGTTTGGGCACTCGGAGGAATAGGACCTTGTGTGTCACAGTCCTTCCTTCACACAGAAGCCATGTGAGTGATGCACAGGCCGTTCTTACAGACTAGAGGGGTTCGAGAGCCCAGGATGCCTGCCTCTGGAGCATCACCCTGATCGAGCATGGATTAGATAGGTCTAGGAGCAGGAAAACCAAGGTTGGGAGGAAAGAAAAGGCCTCTGCCTTTGAGGAGGAGGCCTGGCTGCCTTGCTCTCACCAGGAACTCCACTGTTTTAAAGGTCAGAGTTGTGGCTGAGCTGCTATTTAGTGGGAGCACCCTGTTCCGCCTTTCCACCTTAGACCTGCAGAAAAATCAGACCTTCCTCTCCCTCGACACCTCCATGGAGCCCATGATGGGAGAGACAGTCAAACTGAACAGCAGTTAGCAATGGAGCCCTTGACTTGGCCTTGTGCTTGAGCTCCTGGGCATCTGGGAGCTTTGCTCCCTCTGCTCCTCTCTGTGGAAGTGGGGTGGGCTGGGCTGGGCGTGAGCGTGTTGCTGCTCCTCTTGTGCCCCAGCAGTCTGATCCCCAATGCTAACCGCCGCAGCCACACTGTCAGCAGCCACCCTAACCACCTGTGTGGTGTTGGGAAGAGGTCTTGAGCATCTTTGGCCTTTTGCTTTGGCGGTTTCAAAAAGTTAGCTGCTCATTGTTGTGTCTACTGGAGTTCAAGATCAGTTTCCCTGTTCCTGTCCTCCACCAGGGAAGGTTACAGCTGGGAATGGTGACAGGAGTAGGGTGTCACCTCCCTAGAGACAATTCTGCAGATTCTGGTGGCCACGGGGGTAGGACAGGCCTCTTGTTTCACAGGCCCAGATGGAGGGGAGCGTGGGCAGGTGTTGGGTCGTCTTATTCTAGCCCTGCCAGCCAGCCCGGGCAGCAGCCTATTTCCCAACTGGAGTCGAGAGAAAGGACCTGGGTTTCTTCTAGAAACAACAGGGGCTGGTCTGGGGAAACCTCACAGTTTGGACAACCTAATGAGCCCTTCCGAATCTCCTCTTCCTTTCCCTGCCTCAGGTGGAAGAACTGAGTAAGAAGCTCGCTGACCATGAGCAGACCAGCAGGGCCCAGCAGCAGAAGCTGAAGGTGAGACAGCAAAGGGGGCTAGAGCTCTTTTAGAGAGTGAGGATGTGAGCAGCAGGTGCTCTCTGGCCCTGCACGGTGACGGATGTGGGGCAGAGGCAGGGCCCTAGGAGACCTGGCTGCCTCAGGAGCCCGTGTGTGTGCTTGTCAGGAAAGACCAAGCGGCTCCCACCCATCCCGCTACAGTAGTGAATAGACTAGGCTGTGTGGTGACACTTCAGTTCATTCCAATGAAATTTTCAGTTCCTCAGTCACACTAGCCACATTTCTCCTGCGTGTGGTGGTGGCTACGACACTGGGGAGGCAGGCGTGGACATTTCCATCGTGACGGGAAGCTCTGTTGGATGACACTGGTCTAGATAGTCTCAAGGAATGAAAAGTATCAACATTTAATATTACAATGTAATTTAATATTAATACTTTCCACTATTTCACTTTCTCTGGTTTAATGTTTGCCTTTTTGCAGTTCTAGGCATCACAGCTTTTAGTAAGGGGCAAAGAATTGGACATTCGTGACCTTGGGACTCACTAGAGGCCTGTGGGGTCACAAGAGGTGGTGGGAGCTTTGTTTCTCCAGCTCACTTCCTCCTCTTCCACACCAGGTCGTGGAGATGTGATAAATAGGTGTTGACTGTGTTCCTCTCGGGCAGCGCCCAGCTGGTGCTAGGAGACGGGGGGAGGGAAGGCCAGTGGTCCTGTGCAGTGTCTACACCCAAGCAAGCACATGATGGCAGTTCAGGTGGACACCGGCCCTGCTCCCCAGGGGCCTGTGGCCTGGAGAGGGGCGGTGTACTTGGCCGTAAACACACAGCTGTCAGATACGGCATTGGCTGAAAGGGGAAGTTCCAGCAGAATATGGCCCCTAAAGGGTTTGTGATGTTCCGGTGTGCTGGAGGTGGGCAGGGGAGAGTAAAAGGGATTTTTTTCACTTGTTCTGGGAGAATAGAGACCAGGGCAAGTCACTGGGTTTGGGTGGAGTAGCCAAACCAGCCACCTTGATCAGCCTTTCTCATGCTTTCCAGGCCCAGGGAGGCGAGAGCCAGCAAGAGGCCCAGCGTCTGCAGGCGCAGCTGAATGAGCTGCAGACCCAGCTGAGCCAGAAGGAGCAGGCGGCTGAGCACTACAAGCTGCAAGTGAGCCCAGCCCCTGCCTCTGCCTCCCTCCTGCCTTTTAGCCCCTGTCCCACCCCACCACCTGCCTGCCTGTGTACCCACAGATGGAGAAAGCCAAGACCCATTATGATGCCAAGAAGCAACAGAACCAAGAGCTGCAGGAGCAGCTGCGAGGCCTGGAGCAGCTGCAGAAGGAAAACAAGGAGCTGCGGACCGAAGCTGAGCGACTAGGCCGTGAGCTCCAGCAGGCCGGGCTGAAAACCAAGGAGGCTGAACAGAGCTGCCGCCACCTCACTGCCCAGGTGCGCAGCCTGGAGGCGCAGGTGAGTATCTGGTCGGACACATCCCTCACCTGTCATATTCGACCCTTTTGCCCTCCTCTCCGAGACCACCCTGCCTTAGACTGATCTCTCTCGCCCCCTGCCTTCTCCTTCCCAGGTTGCCCACGCTGACCAGCAGCTTCGAGACCTGGGCAAGTTCCAGGTGGCGACTGACGCCTTAAAGAGCCGGGAGCCCCAGGCCAAGCCTCAGCTGGACTTGAGTATTGACAGCCTGGACCTGAGCTGCGAGGAGGGAACCCCGCTCACTATCACCAGGTCAGGAGGCACCTTCCCCCTTCAAGCGGTTGTCCACCGAGTACCTCATGTTGATCAGCCTCTCTCTCGGGCACTGGGGCCGTGAGAGAAGTAAGACGCGGTCCCTTTGCCCTCTGGGAGCCGATTGTTAGAAATAAGAATAAAGTATCAACAGGTGTTGTGCCAGAGGTTTGTGTAAGAGTAGGGCAAAAGGAGTGGTCAGAAAAGGCTACACGGTGGCCATCAGTCCTGCTTCCAGCCCGCATCCTTAGGGGTGTGCCTGGCCGGCCGTGCCGTGAGCGCGGAGCCCGTGGGAAAGTGAGCTCAGGAGGGCTCCCTGGGCCCAGGCCTGGAGGGGGCTGGCCGGACTCCCTGTCTGAAGGCGTCTTTAGACTTGATCGTAAGGCGTTGAGGGGCTTTGGGAAGGGTTTCAAACTGAGGAGCACCTGGTCAGATCTGCACACTTCAAAGGGCACTAGCAGGGCCTCCCCGGTGGCGCAGCGGTTGAGCGCTGGGTTGCGAAGCTGCCCGCAGCCTCTGCGGCACCGGTTCGATCCCCGGCTGCTCCCCGGCCCCCGGAGGAGGGTCCCACATGGCGCGCAGACCTCTCCTGCCGCCCGCTGCTCCCCTCAGCAGTGTGCTTCGGTCCTTCTGCCTGCTCTGCTCCCCGCTCTGGCTCTGGTGAATTCTCTCACCCTCCCGCGCTTCTGACTGTACCCAGTGCTTGTATAAATAAATAAATAAATCTTTAAAAAAAAAAAATAACAAAGGGCACTAGCAGCCAGTGCGGAGGCTGAGACTGGAAACAAGGATTTTTATTAAATACACGTGCAGACACCTGAGAACTATTCCTTCTCCCACAACAGCCTCTGAGGTGGTAGGTTCTCCTTCAGCCGATGAAGCTGGGGCATAGAGGGACAATCACTTGCCCACGCCCCGCAGTGCGCCAGCCGGGCTGGAGCCCAGGCAGCCTGGCTCGTGACCCCTCAGGGGACTCAGACCAGAGATGGCGATGAGGGTGCCGCGGACTGGCTAGGAAAGCCGCGAGATTTGCCGAGGGGGCTCTGCGAGAGAGGAGAGGAAAGCCGGATGGGCTTCATTTGGGACGTGTTACTTGGGGAGTAGCTGTGGGAATCCAGGGGCCTGTCTGGGTGCCTGGTGGCCTCACCGGACCCTGCTGAGCAGCTCTGGGTGTTGCTGGTATTGAGAAGTGGGAGGGTCATGGGAGTGAATAGGTCACCGGCATTTAAGGTACCTGCTTGTAATAAATGTAGAAATTGGTCACTTTGGTGCAGAGCGGTGGACACCAGGCCCTTGACCTAGGAATAGCACCTCAGTAGGTTTCCTTCTACAGCAAGCTGCCTCGTACCCAGCCAGATGGCACCAGCATCCCCGGAGAGCCGGCCTCGCCCATCTCCCAGCGCCTACCCCCCAAGGTAGAATCCCTGGAGAGTCTCTACTTCACCCCCATCCCTACTCGGGGTCAGGCCCCCCTGGAGAGCAGCCTGGACTCCCTGGGGGACGTCTTTCTGGACTCAGGCCGCAAGACCCGCTCTGCTCGCCGGCGAACCACGCAAATCATCAACATCACTATGACCAAGGTCAGGCCGCTGGGGTGTGGGGCTGCAGGCCAGTGACACTTCACTTCCTCTTGGGGCATCTTCCCATCGATCCTCAAAAAAGCCTCAAGAGGCGGGCAGGGCTGAGCAGTCCTTAGCCTGCAGATGGGAAAGTGACTTGCTCAGGTCTGTGCAAAGCGGAAGGGCCGGAAGCGGATGCGTCTGCTGAGTCTAAGGCCAGTTTTCTCCCCACGCGTAGCACAGACTCCATGCGGGCCGATGGGGTAGAATATGGAGAAGCTGCAGCTCAGTCTGTGCCTCCCGCACTCCCTTGGGGTAGCCGAGATGCTCTGGGGCTGCCCGCTGGGCTGCCAGCCAGGCTGGGCCCTTGTTTCCGTATCCCTAGGATGTTACCTTCGTGGCAGCAGAGGCAGCTCTGTGCGGGGTGCCCTGTGTGGCCAAGAAGCTGGAGACATTTTAGAAAAATGGTCAGAGTCCGGGCCAACTGAGCCTAAAGACCAGGGGAGCCGTGGATGAGCCCAACCCGGGCCGGCTCCGCCCATCCTCGCTGCGTGACTGGGACGGTCAGCTCATTTCTTTGTACCTGCTGGGTACCTGGCTTGTGAAACCAGCAAACGGCACCTTGGTCCCTGTAAAGCCAAGTGGTGCCACCGCAGATGGGCCGCAGGGTTTGAGGCAGTTCAGGAAGGGGAGCAGAGGAGGTGGTTTTGAGTGTCGGGGCCCCCACCCCATTGCAACAGATTCACCCTTTCTTCCAGAAGCTAGACGTGGAAGAACCAGACAGTGCCAACTCCTCCTTCTACAGCACGCAGTCCGCCCCTGCTTCCCAGGCCGGCCTGCGAGCTACCTCCTCTGCCCAGTCTCTAGCCCGCCTGGGCTCTCCTGACGACGGAAATGCAGCTCTGCTTAGCCTGCCCGGCTACCGGCCCACCACACGCAGCTCTGCACGCCGCTCTCAGGCTGGAGTGTCCAGTGGGGCGCCTCCAGGTGAGGGGACAGTGGGGCTTCATCACACCCAGACATCAGACTAGAAGCAGATCTTGGCACAGGGAAGGGGCTGATTTTCTACAATTCAGCACCGGCTTCCTGACCGCCCTCCAGCCCCTTGGCCGCCTTCCCGCAGCATCAGGGCCTCACACGCCCGTCAGGAGACTGCGCGGGAAGTCAGGCTGCCGTTCCTCTCAGCAGGGCAACCGTTAATGCTCACAGAGAGGCCGGCGCGTCCAGCGCAGTAGTGCCACTCAGCGACTGTCGGGAGCCCGTGCCCTTCTCAGGTGTGAGGGGCTGCCAGAAGGACCAGACTGCCCGGTGCCGTAGCCTCGGACTCCGCTTGGAGGCTCTGGCCTTGAGGGGTCCGCTGGGCATCGATTCCTGGCCTTCGGTTAGTTTCCCTTGGCGTCGCAGCCTGTGTGTGTCTCTCCAGGGACAGCAGGGAGCACGCCCCAGCGTAGTAATGGCCTGTGGGCCCTACTCTGCGTCTGCGGCACTGAGCAGAGCAGGAAATGGGCACAGACTCCAAGTCGAGCGTGTTGAGCTAGCAAAGGCTGGTGACGTGCCAGGGCCAGCAGGCGGCCTGCTCCCTCGCAGCCCATTTACTGACTTGCCTGTGCCCCACAGGAAGGAACAGCTTCTACATGGGCACGTGCCAGGATGAGCCCGAGCAGCTGGACGACTGGAACCGCATCGCAGAGCTGCAGCAGCGCAACCGAGTCTGTCCCCCGCACCTGAAGACCTGCTACCCCCTGGAATCTAGAGTGAGCTTTGGGGTCACCTGTGCAGGACCCGCTGAGCTGGCTCACCTTTTTCCCTTGGCCTGGCTGGGGCGGGGAGGGGGTGAGGGGAGTGACCTTGCGCTTCCAGGGAGGTGCTCAGGGTGACTGACTGGGCGGGAGGGGCGGGTAGGGGCGCGCCAACACCCCCCGGGTCTGCTAACACGTCCACCTCATGCAGCCTTCCCTGAGCCTGGCTACCATCACAGATGAGGAGATGAAAACCGGGGACCCCCGGGAGACCCTGCGCCGAGCCAGCATGCAGCCAGCCCAGATAGCCGAGGGCGCTGGCATTACCACCCGGCAGCAGCGCAAACGTGTCTCCTCTGAGTCCCACCAAGGCCCTGGCACCCCTGAGGTGGGTGACGTAAGCTCCTGTGTCATGTTCCGTGCAGCACCCTGCCCCGGTCACCCAGTTTGAAAGTGGATTAAAGGGGAGACTCCTCTCTCTACGGGCCTGATGCAGGGATTGGGGGGGAGGGGGGCGGGGGAGTCCTGGTGTGACGTCCTCTTGTTGCTGCCTCTGCCCCCCTAGTCTAAGAAGGCTACCAGCTGTTTCCCGCGCCCCATGACTCCCAGAGATCGACACGAAGGGCGCAAACAGAGCACTACTGAGGTGCAGAAGAAAGCAGCTGCGGCCGTTAAACAGGTTAGTCGGGGGCAGGAGAGAGACCCTGGGGGGCCTTGCGCAACAAGTTGGACTGACTGGGGAGGCAGTGGGCGTGTTCCCATTTTGACAGCCCCTTCCCGCAGGCTGACCGCCGCCAGTCAATGGCCTTCAGTATCCTCAACACGCCCAAGAAGCTCGGGAATAGCCTTCTACGGAGGGGGGCCTCAAAGAAAGCCCCAGCCAAGGCCTCCCCCAGTACCCGCAGTGGAACCCGCCGCTCTCCACGTATTGCCACGACCACCGCTGCCACTGCCACCACCCCTCGGGCCAAGGGCAAGGTGGAGGCACTGACTGGGAAAGGGGGCGGGGGTTCAGCACCAAGGAAAGCGGGTGGGTGGTGGGAGCATTGGGCACGCCCCACATAAGGGTGGCATCTAAGGCAGGGCCCAGCCAGGCCACCGGAGATGGGGTTGAGAGCAAGTGCTCTGTCTTGGGGGGCTGTTCCTTCCTGCTGAACACCCAGGGCTGTGTTCCCTCAGCCAACTGTGTCTCTCTCTTTCAGGCAAAGCACTAAAGGGCAGCACCAGTGACTGGCCCTACCTGTGTCCCGATGCTGGCCTCGCCTGGCTGTCGTCCTCCTGCCCCTCTCAGTGCCTTTCTCAGCTCCCAGGCCCGCAGCGGCCAGACCCCTAGAGACAGTGACGCCTGCCCAACCCTGGCCTGGCCCTCCACGAGAACCTTGGCTAGGTGTCGGAGGTGGCCCGGAGCCTGGGTTCTCTCCCTCTCCTGATGTTTTCCAACAGCAAGTCACTTCTCCGTCGCAACCAGATTTGAGGCTGGCTTTGGGCCCAGACAGTCCTCTCCGCCTCTAGAAGGGACCATTGGAGGAGCAGGTGCTGCTGCTCCTGGTGGCTGGGCTTAACAGGGCCCTTGCTCTTAAAGTCTAGGACTGGTCACTGACTTGGGGGGGGGGGGGCACCCCGCCCTCTGGTGTTCCGACCTAACCAAGGACACGGTGGCCCAGAGGATGCTTTTTCCAGGATCAGTGGGCCCTGGGCAGCCTCCAGAGGCAGCTCACCCCCTACCTGCCCCAGGCCTGTCCCTGGGGTAGGACTGGGAGTGTTGGGATGGATCTTTTCTAAATGTTATTACTTGTAAATAAAGTCTATTTTTCTCCCTTGAGAGCTGCCTTGATCTATGCAGGGAAACTTGGGCTCTTTGGAGCACACCTTTGTCCCTGCTTTAGCTTCAAGGCCCTCCCTCCTGCACCCCATTTCTAGCTTCTCTTCCTGCGGAGAGTGAGGCGCTGTCTCTCTTCGGAAGACTCACGTCCCCTGAATGGGGTTTGTCTTCAGCTTCTGCGTGGCAGGCCCTCTTCCCGCAATCCCTCCTGGGACAGGCCAAGTTCTGTAGTCGAATGATGGTAAATGAACAGATGTCAGCACACCTCTGCCAAGATCATTTATGTGTGCCCCAGCAGGCTCTGCCCCCAGCTCCTTCCGGGGACAGTCCATTAGCGGACAGAACAAAATACAAATAAAAGGTTAAGTTGACGCGGAATGTGGCTGAGCAGAGACTTGACGGAAGACACGGTGGAGGCAGTGGGGAATCCACCCAGGCAGAAGTGAGAGCCGTCCAGAAACAGTTCTTTACCGGGCTCTGGAGCCTTGGCTGAGGGGGTGATGGGTCTTGGAGGCTGCTGAGTAGAGCAGTGTGAGAGGCAGACACACAGGAGGGACATTGGATTCGGTGAGAGGAAGAACAAAAGCCCAGAGGGGGGTGGGGGGGGCAGAAGACTCCAAGGCCGTGAAGGGAGTGCTGCTTGCCTGGCCGCCGTCCCGCTCCAGGTAGGCTGCGCCAGGCTCTGGCCGAGGAGCTGGGTGCCTCCAGCCTCAAACTGGTTTCCGATCCTGCTGATGCTGGCGGCTATGGGCTGCGGCTGGAGAGTGGGGCTGCTTGAGTCGGGGCGGCCCCTCCTGAGGAAGGGAAAACAGACAAGGGTCAAGGTCAAGGGGGCAAGAGTCACCTGTCACTTTCCTCCAGGACAGGCCTCCCCTGCCTGGGTTCTAGGGTCCTTTCTGCTGCTACCTCAGGCCTGGGGACTTGGGAGCATGCTGGCCAACAGCCGGGGATGCTCTGGGCAGAGTCCACCAACCCACCCCACACCGGAGCAGAGCTGCTCCTGCTGTTCTGGAAACCGTCCCTCAGGTTCCTCACCCAGAGCTGGGCCAGGACGATGTGGCGCTGGACAGTCTGTCCGGGGTCCGCAAAGACGCAGGAGAAGTTGGTACTGCGCAAGGTGGGGCTCAGCTCTTCCAGCACCAAGGCCCTCCGCAGCAGAGTGCGCGGGCCGTGGCGTACCCGGCTGTACGGAGAAGGGGAGGGGTGAGGGGAGCAGGGAGGAGGCCCCCCTCCTGCTGCCCCACTCCTCCAGGCCTCACCTGGTGCCACCCTCCAACAGCCGGCCTGGGAGGTGCTCGATGAAGGAGCCGTTGCCCAGCCAGTAGAGGATGCTGAAGTGGGGAAAGCGGCTGCAGGCCGTACAGGACAAGGTCAGCACTCCGTCTAGGGACACGTGTGGCTGTCAGCCTTTCCACAGAGCAGGCCCCTCCCTCTCCCCCCAGCTCTCCCACACACTAGGGGAGCCCTTGAAGGGGACGTGCATTTGTGTCTGAGGGAGGCCCACAGTCAAACCCAAGGAATTTGGGAGTGGGTCCCGCTGCAGGTGGTGTCTCCCGGGCTTTCTCAGGATGGCCTCACTAGCGCCCAGCTTCACTGTCTGCGGCAGCCAGGGAAGGCTCCGGGAGCCCACGACCATTCCCCGCGTCAGAGTCTGTCCCCTTGGGAGGGAGCAGCTTGGGAGCCTGTGCCCACACGCACAGCTGGGCAGAGGCGGGAGCACGCTGAGCGCGCTGGCCTGGCTGGCAGCGGGTTACACAGCAAAAGGGGGTGCTCAGGAGTCAGCCTCACCCGTAGGTCCCTGGGCCCACAGTCTGCCCTCCGACCGCTCCTTACTCGGTGGGACTTCCAGTTCAGGCCAGGTCACCTCCAGCGCCGGGCACCGCTCAGCTGCCGGGATCATCGGGGACCAGGACGGGACAGGGTCCGGTGCGATCATCACCGAGCCTGTGGCAACTGTGGTGGCCTGAGGTAGAGCTGTGGCTCCGGCCAGGTGGAAGACAATGTGGGTACCCAGGAGCAGGACACGCACAGGGCTGGGGTCTGAGGACAAGACACGGAGTCAGCAGTTGTCCCGCTGCCCGGGGACACCCCGCATCCTAGCTCGGCTCTTGGCTGGTCTTAACTCTGGTTGAGGGAATCGGTGGACCCCTCAGCCCCCGCCTCCTGGAAGAGTCTGGAATGGGGCCAGAGCCTTAACATTGGACTAAGGCTGAAAGCAACAGCACAAAGGTAAACGTTCACGTGGGTTAAGGCTTGCTCCCCTCTCTTCAGACCCCACCCGCCCCTCAGCGCCACGTCCCACCTGGTGTCCAGTTCTGTCTCATAGCCTTGACGCTTGTGTCAGGAGCCGGCTGCCTGCCTTCACAGATCTGTGACAACTTCCTCCTGGTTTTTAAACTGGCTGCAAAAAGGGGAAGAAAATCCAGCCACTTGTCGCCCGCCATAAGCATGCCCGCCCCCCTTTCCGAAGACTCCAGAGCCTCTCCCTGGGCGTGAACGCACTGTGTGTCCCGTCATCTGTGCCACTGGGAACTCCCTGAGAACGGGCGTCCTGGATCGGGAGAGGCTCGGTCAGCACTTAGAAATACAGCCAGAGGCCCCTCACACGACGGTTCCTGCACCCCCATCTCTTATTACCGCGAACATACGCTGGCGGTGGTCCAAGCGAGTCCCGTCGCTGCAGAGAGAGAAGCAGAAGGCCCACGGAGCCCGGGCTTTCCTAGTCATAAAGAGAGGCCAGCGCCTCCCTGCGGAGCTGGCCCCGGGAAGAGGACAGTGACATGCTGGGGATGCCCAGCCCCTTCCCACTGCTTCACCTTCACTTTTATTCTAGCCAGGGAATTCAGAGCTTGAGCTTTTGTGGAGCCAGTAGTCATGCCCTCCCCCTCCCCCCAATTTAATGCTGGACGGGGCTCTGCTGTCAGCCCAGGGCCATGCAGTGTGAACCAGTGAGTCTCATAGTGCAGTTCGTCCATCTCAGCCAAGGGTCAGGACTTCGAGGGCCCCTTCTGCTAGGCCTGCTCCTTCACACTCGCCCTGATACGCAAGGGGACAGCTTTCTTAGGCACTAGAGACCCCAGGTTGGGTCACCGACCATTTCAGGCTCAACTGCATCAACAGCCCATCCACGTTCTGATCCTGCTCAGCTCCTCACTCTCCGCATCCATCAGCCCAGCACCCACCCGCCCCGCGCAAACCCTTCTCGCGTCTTCTCCCCAGCCCCTCGGCTGAGCGACGAGCCTAGGTTCAAGCCTAGGACCAGAAGTCCAGACTCTCCCTACCTGGGCCTCCCAAGTTGCCCATGAAGAACGCTCCTGCTTCGAATTCCTCCTTTTCTGGAGGCACCTGGAGAACTGGTCCTGGGAGGAGGAAAGGGCACTTCCCAGGGCAGAGGGAGAAAGGCCGCTTACTGGCCAAAAGAGCAAAAGACTTACCTCACCTGCTGGTTTGGTCCTGATGGGACAAATGGAGCTGGGCGGTGGCAGGGCCGGGACGAGGGTTAAGGCAAGCGAGCACCTGGGGCAACACTGAACGTGCTGTCAGGGGCGCACGCGTGCGAGAAGGCAGGCGGTCAGGCCCGGTGAGCCAACCTGAAGGTCGGGGCCTGAGGGCCTCACAGCTGTGATGTCTGTGAGGAGGAGGATGGGAGTATGACGACAGCCAGGGAGGCCGGGAGATGGAACAGGGTTTGGAGAAGGTTCGGGCCGTCATCTGCTGTGCCTCTGTGTGTGTGTCAAAATCACTCACAGTCCCAATTCTAGATGTACACGAGAGTTACGTCCTCTTCTCCAGGGCTCTAGCTGACATTTTCCTCCTGCCTCAGTTCCTAAGTTGCACGCTACAGAGGAATGGTCAGGCGGTGAGACCAACCCGAGAGACACCTGGGGCTGGGGTGGGAGGGGAGGGAGAGTCGGGGCACTGGGAGATGGCGGGACCCAGGACTGCTGAAGGCTGAAGAGCGTGCCTTGGACGGCCTGGCCTCGGTTTCTCACGCGAGCCTGACATGGCCACTGGGGATGAAAGTAAAAGGGTGAAACCCAAACGCTCTGGTCAGTGCCCCTTCCACCCTCGAGAGGGCGCGCGGGCGCGAGCAGTGCGCGACCGCAGAAGGTGCAGCTGGGTAAGAGAAGACGAAGTGCCAAGTGGTCCATGGAAGGGAGGAGGGCAGCCGGGCACTGACCTCCGACGGTAAGATCTGAAAGGGGCCCAGAGATGCCCCAGAACAGGAGCCAGGCACCCCACCACCCCAGCCCCAGCTCTCAAATGGGAGCAGCAAAGGTGAGGGAGCCCGGGGACCCCAGGGAGAAAAGTGGGAGAAGAAAAGCAAGATGGATGTTCAGCTTTCCAACCCAGCTCATGGAGCTTTATTCAAAACAGAGTGACAAGATCTTGCTGATTCGCGCTGCCTCTGAAGGGGCGGCCCAGCCGGCAGATTCCCTCGGGAGCCCGTGCTGACCGCCAGGGCCTGCCTCCCACTTCCTTCAAAATTCCCGGGAGCCGAGCTGGAGCTACTCCCAATTTTAGATGTCAACGACAGGTACTTCCTCTTCGCCGGGGCTCTAGCTGACATTTTCCTCCCGCCTCAGTTCCTTTTCAGAATCCCCTTCTCACCTGGGCCTCGCCCTCTTCTCCCGCCCGCCCCACCTCTCCGGTTGCCAGGCCCAGGCCAGGCTCACGAGCGCCGGGGCTGACAGAGGGATATTCCCCGGGGGAAGTCCTCTGCCAGCCTCGCGGGCACGCTGACCACAGGGCTTACATCTGTCACAGGCTCTGCCGCCGCACGCACGCACGCACGCACGCCCGGGCTTTCAGGGAAGGAAGGGAGTGGCAGAGCAACCTTTGGCACATGTCACTACTTCCTCGCCCAAGGAACAGCTTGCGCAATCCCTGCTTGAAGCAGTCCCTGCAGCCCGGCTATGCATGGACGGCCCCTGTGCTCGGCCGAGCACAGCCCTGCTTGGGGGCAGGTTATCGTGCTGCTGCAGCTTCTGGTTGCCCCCCCGCCCCAAATAAATCTTCGATGAGTTCTGAGGCCCCAGGGCTTCCCTTGCTGGAAAAGTCACAAGGTTTTACTTGCTTCAACCCGCCAATCCGCGCCCGGACAGGGGAGAGAGTTGCTGTCCCCCAGGTCCCAGGCGGGGTGGGGGGGGGCTACGCCTCAGCGCTCTTCTGTGGCACCAGCCAGAGCTCTTTGGCTCTTCCACACTGAGGGTCCCTGGCTTGAGCCCCATGGAGGGAAGGAAAGGGGACAGGGGAGCTTCAGCTCCCAGTCAGAGGTGAGAGGACGCCTTTAACCCCAAAACATGGTGGTTCTGCCACCGCTTGCCCAAGCAGCGAGGGTGAGGCCTGGGGGAGTTAGAGCAAATCCTATGCTCCACAATAAAAAAGGTTTTTAGAGATATTCATCAAAATAATTTTCTTTTAAAAAGCCCCACTGCTGACAGCTCCACTGGCTGGCTCTCCATCACGTCCCTCCCCAGTCTGGACACAGTCGGGGGAAGGGGTCCTGAGTGGCCCAAGCGCCCCTTGAGTCTTTCCCACCCAGGAGGTCTTGGAACGCAGGGAGGAGAGTGCCCTGAGGTCCGTGGCGGGTGGATGCTCTTCTTCCTGACTATTCCAAGCCCAGGATATAGTTGATGCCTTGCACCAGGCCAATGATGACAGGCTGCCAGGCCACTAAGTATCGAAGCCAATCCAGCAGTTGTCCATACATGACGTGAGGCCTCTCCCAGCTGACAGGGTGTTAAAGAAAAGACACTATGTGTTTAAGCTGCTAAGGACCGTCTGGGGAGTGGTAACAGCGCAGGCCCACACTTTCCAGCTGCTCCACAGAGATCAGCCCGTAAAGGAAGCCCATGAAGAACGCTAGTGGTCCCGGAACTAGCCCTGAGGAACTAAGCAAGCAACCCTACAGGAGTCAGCGCCCCTGCTCAGGGGCTGTGGGAACACGCTGGGAATGCAGAGTTCCCCGCCTATGTCCACCCAGCCTCTGTGGTGACCTCTCGTGGAAGGCCTAAACCCAGAGTATGTGGGGAGGAGGTGGAGGGGACTGGTACAGGGGACTGGACAGTCATGGAGAGAGGGCGAGAAACTTTGCTCTCCATGACCAACATGCAAGGGGGCGTCCTATAAAACCTTCTCTAAGGTGGGGCAGCCTGTGGGAGAACAGAGTCTGAGGCTCTGTCTGCCTGATGATGCCAGAGGGAGGCTGGAGCGGGATCAGGTAACCCCGAAGGCTCTTCTAAAGTCCAAAATGGAAAGCTTTTTAGGTTAAGAAATGGGTTAAATCTAGGACAGAAGCACAAGGGAGTAGGGAGCAAGAGACTGGACATAGGGATGACCCCTGGCAAAGGCTCTGAGGAACCCCTAGCCAGAGGCATTAAGTAGCAGGCCCTACTGAGGCCAAGGAGCCCTGCAGATGAGCTCCCTTCCTTCACTTTACAGCTAAATGCTGGGCAAGACAGCTGGAGGCAGGGAGGTGGGGAGGGGGAGACTGGGAATTCAGTCTATAGGGAGACACAGGCTGAATCTCAAGAGACTATGTGGGGACCCTCACACCCAAAATCAGCCAGTGCCTGACAACTAAGGCAGCCCCAAGCCTCAGTCTGGCCCTGGAGTTACTTAACTGTCCCTGAACTAGCCCTGAGGAACCAAGCAAGCAACCTTAAAGGAGTCAGCGCCCCCTGCTCGGGGGAACATGCTGGGAATGCAGAGCGCCCCACAGAGCCCAGCTGTGTCCAGGGATAGGGAGCCCTGGAGCAGAATGAAAGGGCAGTTGAAAAAGCAGAGGGGAGAAAGCTTGGTGCCTGATCTCAGGGGGATCTAAAGGCGGAACCAGAAAAGTGGTCAGGTACTTTCTAACAGTCAGGAGGAATGGGGGGTGAGGGCACAGTGGTGAGGGCAGCAGGGTAGGAAGTGACAGCGCAGAGGAGCATAGGTCCTGTGTTGGAGAGGTGAAGAGAGGGAGTCCTGCAGCCACGCCTGCTCTGGCACAGCACTGGTCTCCAGCCTGCACATCACAGGTGGCATCACCCATTCGCAATGGAACCTTGAACAAGTTATTCAACTTCTAAACCATTTCGTCTGTAAAAGGGTAATTACCGGGGCCTCCCTGGTGGCGCAAGGGGTTAAGCACTGCACTATGAAGCAATCCGCAGCCTCTGCAGCAAGAGTTCGGTCCCCGGCCCGCCAGGGAGCAACCCACATGGCGAGACAGACCTCTCCTGACTCGCCCGCTGCTCCCCTCAGCAGTGTATTTCGGTCAGTCTGCCTGTTTTGTTCCCCACTCTGTCTCTGGTGAATCCTCTCACCCCCCACACCTCAGGCCTGTACCCCAGCTCTTGTATACACAAACAAATCTAAAATAAATAAATAAATAAATAAAAGGGTAATTACCCAGGTCATAAATCTGCCAGAGGATCAAAAAAGATAATCCCAGTAAAGCACTGAATGCAGTGCTAGCCACACAGTAAGCGGAGCCGCTATTACTACCAATTTACCCTTGAGAGTTCTGGAACCATGATGGGAAGCTGAGCCGTGAGTCCTCTCTTCTGCTCTAGGCCCAAATTCCCAGACCAGAAGCCAAACAGAATGGTAGACCTGGGCCACGAGCCAGGTGGGAAGGAGGGGCCAATTTCTCCCCAACCAGAAACCAAACAAAAGGATACGGATTGCTGAACATCCTCTTGAGATCTACCTTCTCTTTACAGTAGGGACACGTCTGCTTCTTTCCCACAATGCACCAGCCTCGAATGCAGAACTCATGGAACCTGAGCATTTTGGTCAAGGAAATGGCAGACAGGATGGGGTTCAGCCCCGGGTAGTTGTCAAGGTGCGAGTTAGAAGTGATATTCAGGGGGATTTGATCCTGAAACAGGGATCGTTAGAGGATGCTCCTCCCCTGTGGCCGATCCACTCCTGGGGCAGCAGTGCAGCTGCAGGCTCCTTTCCTATCCAGCTGGCCCAGCGGTCTGGAAATGAGTTCCCTTCCCTTTACTTTCCAGGTAAGTGCTGGCTGGAGAGGGAGCTGGGAATTCAGCTCCGGGGAAGCACATGTTGAACCTCACGATCTCTCCTGAACTACACCCTGAAGACGAGGGTCTTAAATGGGACGAGTGAGCGCCTCCTGCGCGGGAACGGCAGGCACATGCTGGGAACACAGTGCCCACAAATATGCACACACACATGTGGCTCCCATCTGTTGGAAAGGGCGTGGGAAGCTGCAGCTTCCACCCCTTGGTGTTGGCGTCCCCAACAGGGAACAACCCCCAAATGTCTGCCCTGAACTGACTGTCCAACAGGCAAAGGTCTGCACAGCTGGCTAGGGTCACGAGCACCCCTTCCCTCCCTGACTGCTGCGCAGGCGAGGTCCAGGTGCGCGGGCAGGATACACATGGTTGCAGGACAGCCTATATGTGTTCTCGATGATGCCCTCTTCACTGACGTCCACAAAGATCTGCTGCCCACACACGGCACACACACTGTCCGAGAGGTGTTTGGTAGGCATGCCCGACTCACTGTAGAACTGGGAGGAGAGGAAAGATGTGAGAATCGGGCAAAATGGGAAGGTAGGAGAGCCGCCCGCTGGAGAGGAGGCGAAGTGGCAGGGGCAGCAGGACCAGAGAGCATCTTTCACATGCTAAATCAGCCTTGTCTTTGCTGGGTGAAAGGTGAGAACCGTTCAGCCCAGAGAGAGGTTAGGAACCAAGATGCAACAGGACCTGAAAGCCAGGCTGGGTCTGCACCATAGGTGAGGGGATGGGAGGAGGAGGGATAGGGATGAGGAGCTGCCGGGAGAGCCACTCTGTGGCCAGACTACAGTTCCATGGCGGTGGGCGGCCTTCCTTCGACAAATTCAGAACAGTGAACTACCCCGTGCACTGCTGGAAAGGCCATTCTCAAACACTTCCGACAACAGCAAAGGAGGTTCAATTCTGTTGGATAGTTTCATGTCTCAGACTACCACAATCTTTAACTCATTAATTTCACTTCAAGAATTATGAAGTAAGTAGCAGGTCACAAAGCTTCATGCAAAGATATTCATTTAAACATTATTTGTAATTGAAGAGAAGAGTCTGTAATTCCTCAAGAAGTCAAGCTCAGGGGCCTCCCCGGTGGCGCAGCGGTTGAGCGCTGGGTTGCGAAGCTGCCCGCAGCCTCTGCAGCGCCGGTTCGATCCCCGGCTGCTCCCCGGCCACCGGGGGAGGGTCCCACATGGCGGGCAGACCTCTCCTGCCGCCCGCTGCTCCCCTCAGCAGTGTACTTCGGTCCTTCTGCCTGCTCTGCTCCCCGCTCTGGCTCTGGTGAATTCTCTCACCCTCCCGCACTTCTGACTGTACCCAGTGCTTGTATAAATAAATAAATAAATAAATCTTTAAAAAAAAAAAAAAAAAAAAGTCAAGCTCAGAATTACCACATGGCACAGCAAGTTCCTTCCTAGGTATATAAGTCCCTCCCCCCCGCCAAGGAAAACCAGACTAAACGCACATTTGCACACCAACCCCCATAGCAGTATTACTCGCCACAAACAAAATGTGAAAACAAACCAAGTCAACAGATTAATGGAGACACAACACGTGGCACATCCATACAACGAAATACAATTATTATTAATTCCTAAAAAGTTCTGACATGTGCCATTTTTTTTACTAAGTGAAATAAGTCACTTAGTAAAGTGAAATAAGTGAAATAAGTCAAACAGAAAGGGACAAGTGTTATGATTCCATTTATACAAAATATCAAGGTTAGGAAAACTGAGAGAGAGAGGCTGGAGACAACTTGGGGCTGAGTGAGGAGTTACTGTCCAAAGGGCTCAGAATTTCTGTTTGGGGGGATGAAAAATTTTGAAAATAGTGATGACAGTTGCATAACACCATGAATGAGAGTAACGCACCAAATTGTGTACTTAAAAACAACTATGATGGTATATTCGGTGTTACATATATTAGACAACAGAAAAATTATTTAAAAAGCAAAGAAATGGAAATAACCATGAATGACCAACAACAGAACAATATCTAAATCAATTACAGCGCACACACAAGGGGCTAACGCTGCAGCCAGTCAGCTGAAGCTTGAGATACAACGATGTCAAAAGCAGGGCACAAAAATCAAGTGGTGCCACGTGTAAAGACAAGTACAAATCTATACCAAGAAAACAGAGCAGGAAATATATCAGAATGGTCACACCAGTGATGTTTTAGTAGTAGGATCATAGATGATTGCTTTATTTTTTTTTTTAAAGATTTTTTTTTTAATGCATACAAGAGCTGAGGTACAGGCCAGAGGCGTGGGGGGTGAAAGGATTCACCAGAGAGAGTGGGGAACCGAACAGGCAGACTGACCAAAGTACACTGCTGAGGGGGGCAGCGGGCGAGTCAGGAAAGGCCTGCTGCGCCATTGCTGCTCAGGCTGCGGACAGCTTCACAGGTTGCATGATCAGGGAGACCCCAGATTGCTTTTCTTTAATGTACTTTTCTGTACTCAATTTTTCCTTGATGAATGTATATTACTTTTAAATATTATTTACTACCACAGTTAATTACAATGAATAATCAATTCCGTGCTCCAAGAAGAAATTCCAAGTTTTTTTTTTAAAGATTTATTTATGCATATAAGAACTGGGGTACAGGTCAAAGGTGTGTGTGGGGGTGGGGGGTGAGAGGATTCACCAGAGACAGAGTGGGAAACAGAACAGGCAGAATGACTGAAATACACTGCTGAGGGGAGCAGCGGGTGAGCCAGGAGAGATCTGCTGCACCATTGCACTTTCCCTATGGTTTACTGTTAAGTAGTTACATTACATTTCCCTCTTAACCCAAGGGAAAGGACTTGAAATTCATTTGTTAAAACTCTCTATGACCTAATTTTTTACATTGTCCTAATAATTATAGTAAGACACATAATATAAAATCTTAACTATTATTAAATGTACATACAGTTCAGTAGTATTAACTATATATATATTCATTGTTATGCAACTAATCTCAGAACCTTCACATCTTGCAAAACTATGTAATACATTTTTATTATTTTTAAAAATTTTTATGTATTTTTTACATCATTGTTCCTTTTTCAAGATTAATTTATTTATGCATACAAGAGCTGGGGTACAGGCCAGAGGTGTGGGGGGTGAGAGGATTCACCAGAGACAGAGCGGGGAACAGAACAGGCAGACTGACTGAAATACACTGCTGAGGGGAGCAGCGGGCGAGGCAGGAGAGGTCTGCTGCGCCATGTGGGTAGCTACCTGGCTGGGGATTGAACTCGTGCTGCATTGGCTGCGGTAAGCTTCATAGGCTGCGTCTTAACCCCTTGCGCCACCTGGGAGGCCCCCATCATTGTTCATTTTTGTACTATGCTTGATTTCTCCTCTCAGGTGTAATCTCCATGACTTTCCACCACCAAGTCACCCATGAAGTGTCACCATAGTCTCTTGTGCTCTTCCCTCCCCTGTTTTGAACCCTCTCCTTCCCCTGCTGAATAGCTCCGATTTATAGTTTGCCTGCTAGTTTTTTTTCCTGATCCCTTGTATAAAGGTCTCCCCATGTTTTCTCCTATAAGTGAAACCATCCAATATTTTTTTTTCCTTCTGATGTATTTCATTGAGCTTAATCCCTTTCAGCTTCAAATGGCATGAGTTTATCTTTTTTGATCTCAGAGTAATATTCCATTGTGTATATACACCACATCTTTGTGATCCAGTCATCTGTTTTGGGGCATTTAAGTGGTTTCCATATCTTAGCTATTGTAACCAGCTATTGTAAACAGTGCTGTAATGAACACAGGGGTGCAGGTTTCCTTTCAAATTAATGTTTTTGTAACCTCTGGGTAGATTTCTAGGAGTGAATTGCTGGGTCACATGGTAGCTCCACTTTTAGTAGTTTGAGGGTCCTCCACACAGCTTTCCATAGTGAATGGACCAGTTTGCATTCCCTCCAGCAATGTAGGAGAGTTTTTTTCCACATCCTCGCTAACATTTGTTGTTGCCAGTTTTTTTTTAATTTGGGCCATTCTCACTGGTGTAAGGTGGTATCTTATTATGGGTTTGATGAGCATTTTCCTGATTATAAGTGACATTGAACATTTTTTCATACACCTGTTGGCCATTTGCATTTCCTCTCTGAAGAAGTGTCCTTTTAGCTCTTCTGCCCACTTTTTTTTTTAACCAGATTGTTTGTTTTCGTTGAATCGTGTGAGCGCTTTGTAGATATTTGAAATCAGTCCCTTATCAGTTGCATGGAGTACAAATATAGTATAACACACTTTTTAAAGCCTTCTGAATTTTTTTATTACAATTCTATCTGTACCTGCCTTCTTGCCAAACTGTCTCAAGGGACTCAGCAGAGTGCTCTTACTGTCTCAGAATATCAGAGCAGTCTTCTCAATGGAGAAATCAAAGTCCAGAAAAAGGAAGAAAAAAATTGGGGCTAGAACCCATATCCTCTGACTCTTACCTTTGCTGAACGCTGCAGAAAGAGCAGCTATTACTTGTGAAGCTATTACTCAAAAGGTTTTGATCTGCTTGTCAAGAGTACAAAGGCAGTGGGAAAGGGTAAGTGGAAGTCAGAGGAGACAGGACCAGATCCGTGGGAATCCACTAACTGCACTGCTCTCAGTAGCTGGGATCTTAGAATGTTAATGCTGAGGGTGGGGAAGCCTCTGAGAAACACCTCTCCAATGTTCAATAGGCTGATGGCTCTGAAATGTGCCTGATTTAGAGCTTCTAGGCACATCAACAGAACAAAGAGTGATCTGAACCAGTTCTGTTCTGACACTGAGTGCCAGGACTATCATGCAGCACAGGAACAGAGCCACAGTACTGGCAGTACAGCAAGAGGAGGAGAAACGCTTTACCTCAAGAGAGGAGAGCTCTGAGGAAGCGCTTCCTCTTAGACATCCCAGAGTTCTGCGCTAGGACACTGGAGCAAAGGATGAAGAATCAAAAGGAACTTAGATGAAGTTATGACATTAGAAGGGAATCCAGAAAAGTGTATGTTAAGTTTCTAGATTTCTCCCCATCAGTCTAATGTGACAACAGGTAGGCAGGGCCAAGTCCCACAGAGTCTCCACAAAGTCATCAGGTAAGCCTGTCAGGTCATGAAGACCCCAGCAATCCCACCATTCCCAGAAACCACACAGGAGGAAAGTACTGGGAGGCACTGAGGCTGAGTTGGGTAAAGTACGGGAGGCTGATTTCAGTTGAACCTCATGTATCTCATCCTCAGTGAACAGGGGCCCAAGAGACCTTATGATTTCTCAGAATTAGAAGATTAGACTGACCTAATTTTATTCCATTGTCACTATCTTGCTGCCCTTGAAAAAGCCAAACTTAAACAACCCATCTAAATGCTTCCTATGGGCAGCTACTGGACTAAGTCCTTGGAACAGAATGCTAGAAAAACAGACTTGGCCTCTTTCCTCATGAAACCTACAGGGAAGAGAATACTGAACGGGATGGCTACTGTGCCAGGTTGAAGTATTAATATTTTTCAAAAATTACTGAAACAACAGGAATTCATTTAG